TGAACCTTCAACTTTACTTAATGGAAACTTGTAACAGTCCAAGTTTTCTACATACAGTAACTGCTTTGCTTCAGTACTACCTACTGAAGTGGGATACTTTCTTGAATAGTAATGTTTCACAAAAGTCGCTTTCACTTGACATTTCAGTGTCTAATCAAAGAGAACTTCCCTGAGATATTAGCACTTCTTTTGCAGCCTGAGAGCATGTATCCCATGGGATCAATATTCCAAAGCCTGTGTAGTCATGCCATTTATGTTACATTGGTTAAAGCACATTAACTGCAAAGTCAAGTGTCAGAGTATAGTGCTCGCCAGACCTCCTTTGTCTTCTGCCAAAGACAGGGCAACAAAGTTTATGTACTTATTTACAGGAGACAGAGGCAACAGCCTGTCAGGGCTCCACAACAAAAAAGCACTGTAGGTTAAAAACCTACTAAGCTAGAACTCAAGAATGCTGTAAAGAGCTTAATGGCAGGAAAGTGGAGGAAGAAAGGAAATGCTAAGTGGAAAGATTTCAATTAATGAAAAGAAAAAATGGCAATGGGATATGAATTTCTGAAAAGGCAAGCACAATGTCTGTCTAGTGCCTATTAAAAGCTCTGAAAGAAGTTTACATTGTGACTTCCTGTTTGTGACAATCCTCAAAATTTCAGGTTTTCACACTAGTTTCAGCCTTCAACAATAAAGCCATAGGGCACAAGCATCTAACAACTTTGTGCCCAATAAAGCAACTCAGCCAAAACAAGGAAAGGAAGTGCAGCACTAAACTGACACTAAATATACATGACTCTTCACAGGATCAGCTACTGGCTAACTAGAAATACAGTAGTCTCTGCTGAGTGTCCTTTCAGCACCACCTGTTCTCCAAGTAATGCTAGGTTGTGCAAAAGATTAAAGGATCTTTGTAAGTAACTTTCTAGGCAATGAACATAAAAACAACTGGCATGTACACTAAAGTTAAAATTGCAAGTTAATAATAATTGACCTACATGTAAGGGGACGCTGAGTGAAGTTACGGCAGCATTGAGGAATTCAAGTATGAATCCAACATTTCACATAGTAATATAAATTACATTCAGTATTTTTATTCTAACCCATCCTTGGTTACTCAAGTTTGTGCAAAGGAAAAGATGCACATGAGTAGATCTAAGACGGTTTGCATAGAGGAAAAGTCTACAATACAAGTCTTGTCACAGTGGTTTTTAAAGCTCCAGATTTTGCCTGTTTGCTCTCCTGAAGTGTTAATCAAATACAAGTTAAAGACCTACTGTGAAGTAGTCAATATATACCATTCAGCTTACTATGCTACCAAAATCCACTGGTTTAGGTACAAGAGGAATCAGGCAGATACCTTGTTAAGAACAAACCAAAAATCCAATATAGTAATTCTATTTCTAGTTATTTTACCTCATTTGAAAGGTAAGAAAAAAGGTATCATTTTTTCCAAACCATCCTATGTTTTTATGACCTTTTTTCTATTTCATTTACCTTGTATATTTGATAGCAATGTACCTCATTGCTTCAGTTTTGGATGCCATACCACCAATTTCCAGTATGTGCAGTTTTAGTCAATAACAGGAACACAACTACTTGAATTTACTAAAAATAAGTTTTCTTATAATATTATTTGAAAACTGACTGTATAATTACTATTCCTAGAAGAATAGTAAAAGCAGCTGAAATTTATCCTTTAGGCTGCAAACTGCAGCATATTTAAACAGCAAACAAAATTTTGAGCTCAGAAAAGCACAAAATTACTCAATGGACTGAGATTACAACAAAGGGCAACTGGCTTGAAGTTTTTTCAAAGTATAAACAGGACTTTAAAAATTAACATTAATAATGTGAAATTATATGCAGAGTTCTGATATGCAGCTGATTTAGGTTACCACACTGGAACAACTGAGAGAAGTATCTGAAATCTGAAGTTCAGACTTATCTCCACCACAAAGCCCAGAAGTGTCACAGCAGCAGCCTACTGCACCTATACCATAGCAACACCCCCAACACCACCCTCTTACAGTGGAGAGAATTCAGTTTTAGATCCTGGACAGTAACATTAACCTTTTTTGCCGTTCTCTGGTGTTCTTTACTGGTGTCCTAGGTTTGCCCTGTCCCTGGCTACTAACCTGGCTTGCAAAAACTGATGGAACAGCAGACCTTTCACTGGAACTCTGTGATTAGGATGGATTATGCTTTTGCCAATTCTTGGTACCATCACAATCTGACAGATCTTATCACAGGATAGAATTCAAGTACCTAGCACATCCTGCATGTTATACAGGAACACATGTATTCAGATTGCTGACCGAAGACATGAAATAGCATGTATCAGAAGGCCAGAATATGGATTTATCTGCAGTTGCTTATATTAAGTATAGGATTTGCTCATTATTTTGTTCCATCCGTTGGATGGAGAACAACAATGATGTAAAGTTCTGTAAAAACGTACTACTGGAGAAAAAAAAAGTTCAATATGCAGAATTAATATTGATGGCCATGCCAAGACGTTTAATCTTGTTTCACACACAGCCATCCCACTCCTACATTAAACTATAACCCTTGCATCAATTTATGTCCAAAGTTCCACAATAGCAATATTTTACATGGTTATCATGCAGTCACCAAGAAGTCTGTTGCTTTACCAGTGCCTTCTACATGTTAACCAGTTGGGAGGTTGTGGTCAGCATGTCACATATACCATCACCCTATCTTCAGGAAGATGGCATTGCAAATTTGTAACGTTTCTTTTAGCTTTTGCAGAAGTAGAATCAAAAAGCAGCTAGTCCAAAACCAAAGAACATGGTCCTTAATGGATCTACACATGAAGACAGTTCAGTGCATATCTAAAAATGTTGATAATATAAATCGATATTTAACTATTTATACTAATCCTAACATTTAGCAATTGAGGGAAAACATTCTGACTCTTCCTATTGCAATTTTATTCAGATTTTGCTGTTTAAGGAAACACTGCAAAGTTCTTTACTTAGCAGCTATGTTAATCCAAGACTTTACTATTATTTGTTAGCATCAACTTACTTGTAAATACTATATACATTTCAGACTTAACCTTACATTATCTCAAAATCAGCCCCCCCCCCCCCGGTTATGCTCAAAATAAAGGATTGTGCATGAAGTATTAATTTCCCTCCCAAGTTTACCAACTAGACAAATAGAAACATAACTGTAGGGAAAGATAAACAAATGTTATTAGTAAACAAGGACTTTCAGGCTCTAGGAAACTCCATGTAAAGAAGCATTCAGAAATGCTGCTAAGGTAGAACATGCCTACTACATACAGTTTCTTCCTACCGTTTTTATCTATCCTAGAATGAGATGCTTTATTCCTATAGTGTTAACCTAGTTTGGAAATTAGAAGTTGAGCCACAACAAAGCACACATGAGGAAGAGGAGTGCTCATCTCCATGGAATTACTCCAACTCTGCTACTGTCGAAATTCATATTCTCTCTAGCTGATATTTGCTTTCAATCAACTTGAAATGCTAATAAGGATTTGTCTAGACTTCACTGTTTAGGAATCCCTGATATTAATCAGATTTACCATTGTTCTGTGACCTAAGGTACCTCACCTTCGTTCCAACCTGTCCACATTAACTCACACACAATAAAAACAGACACAATCATATGCCTTCATGACAACTGAGTTGCTCAGCCAGACATATGACAAATGCTTGTTAAGAGAAAATTATGCAACAGCTTTCTAACAGTAATTCTACTTTTTCTCGAAACCAGTGGTTTTTTACCTTTTAAGCCTACTCTGAGCAGAGGAAAAAGTCAGTACAGTGCCGTATCTATTCATAATACAAAATACCTGGCTTTCTGGGAATTCTACAAGCAATTTACTTTCTTACAAAGAACAAAGCAAGCTAGTTATAGTCCTTTAACAGAAAAAGCTAGGTTATTGAGCTTTTAAATCTGTTTTTAAGTGAGCTTAATGATTGGTAAAGGTGCTGGACTGACAGCTCTAGAGACCATCCTCAATCTATAGCACAAACAACATTCCAAGATCCTCCACGATGTTATAACTCCCAAGGGATTGATACTAAAAGGTTGAATCCACCAAAACTGTTATGAAAACACTACTTAAGCTTAAATAATGAAAGGATACATTTAATAAAAAGGCAACAACAAATAACTAGGTTCTATTGCTCTAGTTTACTATGGTTTTAAGCAACACTATCAGAGCTGTGCATTAAAAGGCATATGGAAACAGAAGCAGACTACAATGCAAAGATGACTGGGCATTTTGCACACAGTGTAGTGTTAGGTAAAGACATTTCATCACAATGCAGGATGAACTGAAATGAGCACAGCAGTTACATAAGCTATTTTGGTTTCAGGACCACCTGATCTTTTTAACTAACAAAGTTATTACAACTATCAGAGCAAGGAAGTTTGAAGACAGAAATTTCATAGGTTGAAGGTTTTGGCAGTTTAAAGCTTCAAAATCTGTTAACTGATATTAGGCAAGCATCCTTTTTCTTTTTAAGCAATCTCAGTATAATGCCAACGTAAAGTTCATCCTCGCAACAGCAAGAACTGAAAAGAAAAAAAAATCTACACATGGACTCTTCTGCTTGCACAAATGCAGTTTAGTTTCTAAGTAAATTAGCCTTAAAAGTTGTACCAAAAGACACAAAGGGACTAATTTCCATGCACACAGCCCCAAATGCAGCAAATGCTATACAGTGAAATTCAATCAACTCATGAAATTAAGGAAACCCCAAGACGGAACATAAATGCTGGTTTTGTTTCATGTCAAATCACGTAATTAAGCAATTTTTTGCTCTCTTACATCCCAGAATCAGGGCAAGATTCATGAATGAGTTAGTTTTAGTGTATTCATTTAACATAATGTACATTGGCAAAATCAGATAAGGAAGCTGTAATAACTATTAGATAAGCAAAACCTGCTACAAACGAAAGATAGGACAAAAGTTGCAAGTGATCAGAGACAGTAGTATTTTATCACTTACCTCATGGTGCAGCTCAGCTATCTGATCTTTCAGCTCTCTGATGTACTGGTTAGAATCAGATTTATTAAGCTGCCCTTGAATTTTTCCTTCTTCTTTCTGTTTTGGTTAAAAAAAACACACAAAAAACAAAAAAACCAACAACAATAGTATATCAAAAATATTATTTTAACGTCTACGTATTTTGTCATGAGCAGAAGCTATTCCCAAACACTGTCTAGTACTTTTCATCTGGCTGAAGTTACAGCAGGTTCTAGGGGTGTCAGTAGCTTAGACCAAGCTGACCTTCTCAATAGTAACCTTAGTACAGGTAGGATTTCATGGAAGAGCATGAAGAATAATGAAGCTTCACAAGTGGAATTCAGATCCAATGTACATGAGGTTGCATAAGCAATTTAGTAAAGCATTCCTACAGAATGCTATCAATATATGGAATGTATCTGAGTGTGCATTATTTTCACTACCATAGTTTTCTTTTAATAACAAGGAATTTCCTTTGTCTCCAAGTGACAAGTAAACGTGTTCTTTCATTGCACAGTAGGACATGCACTGGGAAACACTACATAGGACAAGCTTTCTTCTCCCCTAAAAGATGTAGTAACATATAAAACACTGAGGTATTTATCCTAAAAGAGTTCCAGGGAGCATAAGTGAAGACAGGTATGTCCCCCAGCACCAATGCTGCAAGAGTTCTAGAGTAAAACTGGCAAGTAAAAAAAGCCAGAGATGAAAAGGAATGCAAGATTTCCCTCACTTGTCAACTAGATGCAGCTCCTAAGTTTCAAGATGTCTAAGTAGGTGTCATCTGCGCTTGAATGCCTGCAACACTAGCTTTCAGCTTGTCTTTAAAGGAAATCCTAATTTGACTGACTCAAACCAACAGATCTGAGATAAATAACTCCCCTTGACAGAGGAGACAGGCAGCTTGCTACTAAGAGCAGCGTTGCTGTTTTTTTCCAGTTGATGACAGAAAACACTTTGATTTTGTGTAAATCATATACAACCAATATATTACAGAAATACAAATACAATGGGAATATCTGATTTTTCTACCTGTAGCTCATTTTGCTGAAGTTCTACTTAAAGAAGCAAACAGGCAACCTCAAAGTCATTTGCAAACAAATTTAAATTCCTTTTAGAATGAAAGGTGTCGATTTTTTCTCAAAATACAAGACAAAAAGATTTAATGGAGAGGTTCTTTTCAAACATCCGGAACAGAATGTGTACCAGGACATTAAGGAGGATGGACAACAGACCACCTTCCAAACCCTTTGCTGCACGAAGGGACAAACCTTGAGCACTGTCAGTATTGGCAATCTCAAAGCAATTTGTCTAATTTCAAGCTATTTTTTTCTTGCAGCAAGGTATGCATTACAATATTACTTGAAAACTTTGTCATATTCATACTAATTCATAGAACCTGCAACACAGAGGCACAAGATCCTTTAATGCATAATTCCATACTGAGCCTAGTTTCTAAGGCTCAAATTCACACCCACACAAATTAACACTACTAACTGGAGTGAGCAGGTGGCTGTGTGGTTCTGGGCTGCTGGCTGGACTTAAAACATGACATTGTTCCTGTCCTAAATAGGTAAAACACACACAACACCCACCTCTGTCATCTCTCCTTACAATGATGACTATTGGCATTGGAGAAACCAAAACAGAAGCAACACAACCTGGAGACTAAAAATCATGCTGTTTACATCTGTAGATAGAAGAAGTTTCATTGTTGTCAGAAATTAAGATTCCAGACAATGAGAACAACCTAATCTCTTGTGATAGCAAGAACGTATAGGAGAAATGCATGTCTAAGTCCTTGTTTGAAACCCTGACTTTCAATTTAAGCCTCCTGTTCTATGACTCCAGATTACTATGTAAACATACATTATAGTATCAAAGAATAAGGCAAGGATTTACCATAAATAGAAGATAGGCTTCACAGCCCTTTTAAAATGAGAGTGTAATAAATAGCTGAGCTTACATTCAAACTGAGGGCAAGAGGACATCAAACAGGCATTCCCACGTTAAGTCAGAGTAAGCTAACAGCAGAAGCAACATAATTTACTAGCTTAAGTTTGGCACTGCACAAATAGATGGAAGCTGCTACTGTAAACTATACAGAGTATACCATATTGGGAGTTATACTCTTTCATTATATTTAAGTGGGTTTATTGTTACTTTTTATTCCATAAATAACACTGTAAAGTTAATGCAGACATCGCAGAATAATTTGACACGCATATTTGCTCCTAGAAGAATTGACTATAGCTCCAGTCAGTTGGAGCTGAATGGAAGGCATAAGCCTGGCTTGCAAGATCCTTATTATTAGTGAAGAACAACTAAGTTTCAGTTTTCCTTTCAGAACTATAGATTTTGCAGAGCTCAGAAATCCCCAAAAACATGTTTAGCACAAAAAAGGAACCCTGCAATGGCATTCTATGCAAGCATACGTAAAAAGTCATGCTGTAACTTCCTCTAGAACACTAGAGGTCAGAAGCTGATCCTTCTAACTGGCTGCAACAGGAATCAGGCATTTCTAGCTAAATAAATGAGCTATTTAAGTTCTATAAGCTACAAAGTCTGTCTACAGTAGGTAAATTCAAAAGATGACATAAGCAATTTTAGGATGAGGTATCAGAGTTGTCTTCACAGCTGCTGTTCAACTCTGAGCAAATATGACCTTGGCTTTTAAATAAGCCAAATTGATCACACCATTAATATAGTTATTTAAAGACACTCATACAGGCACAGCAGCAAACCCTGCAAAACATGCAGGGGTCAGACACTACAGCATTTATGTATTTTTTAATCCTTACCAAAATAATCTAATTTAGCGAATAAATAAATAGACAGCTGAAAGCTTACATGTTTCAAATGAACCAAAGCATTTATTTTATAAAAAAGTAGTTTTACCTGTCAGGTTACCATCTTTAAGTCACCCAACATTCTTTGAAACTAAGAAGCTGTCTCATCAATACATATATTTATTTTCATACAAAATAGTCCTATGATCAGCAAAATTGTTTCACTTTCCAGTCACATTTTGTATTTTTACTAAGTTCAGGTTAGTTTCTAGCTCCTTTTATCTTCTGTTAATCAAAGGTAAATTTTAATGTGAGTAACTTAGTTGTGCTAGCAACACTAGTTTTTCATGAGGGCAGCTTGACAGAAGTCAAATAGAAAAATTGTCAGCAGGAAAAACTTGAACATGGCATTTCCTTCTAACATGACAAGCAATATGAAACAGCATTCCCTACTATCTGGCGGTATCTGTCACAAAGACATAACACTTTCTACCAAAAATTCTGTAATTCTAGATTTGCTTCTCAATCTACCCTAGATTATACAGCACATTACCTATCACTGATTATCATTTCCTAGCGTTTTTAATCATAAAACTGTATTACATAGATACAATTTCTAAATCTTGAGACTCATCTAGTCATGAAGCAACTGACATTAATATCAGTGTTACTATTTGTGTGGTAATGTCAATTAAACTTCACCAAGAAATAGAGGGACAGGGAACTAGCTAGGTAGTGAGTGACATCAAAGTGGGACAGAAACTGGGAAGTAAATGTACAACAGGTACTGAATAGAAGCGAAACAAAAAAAAGGACCTTAGACAATAACACTCATGGATTCTTGCAGATTGCATCTTCAGCCTGCTATCTGCAGGATATGGCTGCTCCATTTATTTAGTTAGTTGACGTACTGCAGAACAACTTAAGATAATAATCTTCCAGGAATAACTACTAGCTCTTTATCATTCATTTGCTTCTCTGGAGACGAGTTTTTTCCATTCTTCCTTACCATATCTTCCATACTGTAATGCACCAGACAGCCCCACTAACATAAGATAAATAAAATTGCTTTCATGTAGCTTGAATTTAACTGAATGCTTCCTTCCTATTGTAGCATTCACTTTAGTAGGAACCAGGCATTTCACTCTGCATTGGTTTTATACTGTGCTTGAGAAGTTTTGTACTTCTGTTTTGTACCCAGGTCAACTGTAATAGGTCAGAAGTGAATGTTAAGACTCCACTTACAATTACAAGTCTTTAAGGAATAAACATCACACCTTTTAAAAGGAAACAGCATAAACAGTTGGTGCTCTCTCTCCATGTTTGGTTTGTTGATTACTTATTTACTTTTAACCTAATTTTATACACATAGAATGTGGGTTGTTTTTTGTTGGTTTTTTTTTTTTTTTGATGGGGAGCACTATTATAGAAAATCTGTGGTATTTGGAGAGGTCACAACGACACAAAATAGCTGATCTCTAGGCAAATAATAGTCATTTTGAGTTTAAAGTTAACATGCAGTGAAAAAGACAGACAACATATCAATAAGCAAAGTTCATTTTCAGAATAGTAAAACAATGAAAGCTAGACAATTCTGTGATCTAGACATTTTGTTTAAAAACCCCTGCAGTCATATGTGGATTAACCCCTACATCCATTTCCCTGCTGCTGCATCCTGGCCTCACTGCAGTGCCTGCCTCCTCTTCCCGGAAGGGTTTTTAGAAAAATGATGCCAGTTGGTGTTACACTGTAATTAAAGATCCACCACCTTGATGTTGCTGCTTTTGAAGATTAATAGCTCTCTCCAGTCTTAGGGTCTCTTCCAACAGACCAACTCTACCAGCACTAACAGGGTTAGAAAACTTTCTATCAGACAAGCAAACACCCTAGTGGTCAGGTATCACCTTCGCTCAAAGGAAAAGTACTTGTGAACAGTACACAACCCAACCTCCTGCCTCAGAGGCTGTGTATAGTGAGGGAGTAGCATGGGCAGCGAAGCAGGAAGTGAGCCCTACAGATCAAAAAACAGGCACTAAACCAGAACTCTCTTAGGCCCCTTCAGTTTCGGAAGCTCTCACCTCTCTCATCCTGCTCTGAACTACAAAGTGACTGTACTTGCATGCATACCAAAAGTTACAAGAGCTCCTGAGAAGAAAATCTGTTCCCCCCAAATCTGCTTCTTAGCATGAGGAAAAATCAGTTGAGATTCATGGTTGTCATCATGCTTAAATCTTTCTTTGACTGGCTTTCAAAGAGAAAAACAATTTCTCTGTACCTTCAAAAAGCAACAGCAGCTACTTTCAAGAAACACACCTAATGCCTACTGAGAACTACTGAGCATACGGAGCTCAACCAGCATAGGAGCAGGATACACACCTGGCAACACAAGAATACAGGGACAGACTGCTTCAAAGAATGATGATCTTAAACACCTGAACCATTACTGTACAGTATCCCCTAAAAATCAAGTATAGTAGTCATGAAGCTTAAATAACATAAATAACCATGTCACTGGAAACCTCTTGGAACATGCTGGAGGCACTAAGCTCAACTGACATTTAAATGTAAGATAGAGAAGATCAGTGTAATCAAACTTCAGCTGCAGGTGTTTCATTCCAAGAGGAACACAAGCACAAAGTTTTCTGTAACACTCTTGATGATCAGATCAGAGTAGGAAAAGAGACATCAACAAGAAAATCAGCTATTTTAAATTATAAGAAAAAAATCTAGGATTATTTTCACTTTAATAACTGTGAACACAGAGAAGAAAACCCAATGCTTTAGGCAGCCAAAATCCAGGCATACCAGTCACTTGCTGTTCCTCAGGTAACTGTGTATCATCTTTATTAAAAATGTCTAGAGGGTTGGACATTTCCTTAACACCCTTGCTTGATCTTTTCTGACTTCAAAATATTTACTTGGTAACAATCTGCCTCAGCCTCTTTTCAGGGGACTCTTTTAAACTCTTACTCTGTGGCAAAAGACACTGTATTAAAAATGTAAATGAGGTTTATTCAAAAGGGTAAATGTGGTAACTAGTGTCCTTTCAGTGACTTTACAGTGACTCATTCTAGACTTTCAAAAAACATCACTAACATCACACACCACTATTGATAAGAGTAAAAAAAAGTTTCCTGTAATTTGAAAAGATGGAAACAATTTCTTTACTCAACAGTCAGTACTTGGAAAAGTTATTAAACAGAGGTCATAGAAAGGCTTCATTCTAACGAAACAGTGCTAAAAGTTTAAAGTGTGGGGGAGACAACTAGCACAATCATGGATTTCCTTTACAGTTATTCTCAAAGCAGCTTTGACATGGTTAGAGATAGGGTAAATGTGACAAAGTTCTCTGAATCTGCCAGGAAACACATCAGGAGGAAGTGATGTTACCCCCTGTATAGATCCACCTAACCAAGAGAAGAATGAATTCTTACAGCTAGTTTTTGCTTTAAGATTACTCAGACCTGAGCCAGGTTTCCTATATCGCAAGTGTGCTCTGTACTTCTCCAACCCAAACCAGCCATGGATAATTTTAAGCTATGGATATCTAATAATTTGCTGAAATGTCTTGCTTTCATCCTGCTAATACTTCCAAGTCACATTTGCTTCCCAAGGGTTTTATAAGCTGAACTGGCAAGTAAGAGAAAAACAAGGAGAGAATAGAGGAGGAAAAGTAAACTTTGTTTATATGTAACTTTAGGGTTTTTCTTTATCACTTCTGGGGCTTAGTTATATGCAAGCCAAGTTAAACTTCAGTTTATTTTTTTTTGTTATTTTTGCTAAGGAATGTCTTATACAATATCCATCAGGTATTGGACTATTCCCTTGCACTTCAATGTGCTTACACAGAAGTTTAAAAGCATAGGATCAGGAAATGAATGCCTGACCAAGATGACATTCAGAATATATAAAAAATAACTTCTTAACATCACAACAAACTGACAGCTTGCTGCATAGTTACATCGGCTGTTAAATGATAAGAGTTCCACCTCCTTCTCCCTCTTTTGTCATTATTACTAACCAACCCTACGAGTGGCCCAGAAACTGTGATTTAAATCTAGCATTTGTGCATGTAATGTCAGATCAGTTCTTATGTGGGAGTAGTGATACTCTGCATTACAAATTTAACACCAGTGTCTTGCACCTACAGGAACAGTTAAAAGAAAACTACACAGTTTAGGTTAAGCATTGCTATGGACCATGTGGACTGGCACTAAATCCCTAGAGCTTCTTAGAAAAGCACCATCCCCCTCAAAAAAAAGGAAGGTTATGTGGTGAGTTAACTTCCTCCATCTTTATCAACTTTGAAACAATATGACCAGCAGACTTGTTTGTGATTCTCTGTGTTAAAAGCACTATTACTTTGAGACTGACACCTACTCTCCAAGGCTAGCTAAATGTATTTATGGTATTAAATATTGCATTTCAAGTCATTAAGGCGAGTCAAGATTAGAAGGCCCTCTTCTTCCAACATCAGGTCACAGCAATTCCAGTGACAAGCTGAATGGAAGAGAATGCTCTTTCTCCAATGAGGAAGAAGCTATTTAGATTTTCAACTTCCTTAAAAAGCAGCTTTTGGCTTATATTTTACAAGCTTTGGGAGTTAACAGCTTTCCAACTGCATGATTACCTTTTCTGGTGCAGGTGTTTCAGAGGCCTTTGAGCATGACTACCGGAAAAGGAATTTCTAGTTGTAAATTTTACATTTGCTGACAGAACACACTGGTCAAAAATCATGTTTGCTTACAGAATCTTAAAAGAAACAAAAAAACCCAACAAACAAACAAAAATAAAAGAAAACCCCAACTAACTGTCACAGCCAAATAAAAGCATTCCAACTCACGTCTAGAATGGCAAAAATAAGTAAATTGATGTTAGAGGAACTTATTTCTACCAAATCACTTTTGTTTTAAATGTCTTTATGTGGTTAACAACCAAACAAGAGAAAAACAACAAAAAACCTAAGGCCACCTAGAATATGTGAAAAATGGAAAAAACATAACTAAAGATTGCATCATGAAAGCAGTAATTGTGAAAACAAAGGAGGGATGATGCAGAACAACCAAACATGAGACAATGCAGTATCATGACAAAAGAGGGGCAGCATAATCTTTGGATGTATTAGCCCGAGTAATGAAATAGATTACATTCCCACACTTCTTTACCTGCCTTATGACAAGGTATTACAAAAACTTGCATGAAATTCTGGCACCCATAGCTTAAGCAGACATATGGTAAAGGAACAGGAGAGAGCTGTGAAATGACAGCACTGATGATTTGATCAGTCAAACAGAAAACCCAGTCAGACGTATTTACATTAACAAATGAACACAATTCTAACTGGGCAACAGCAATCAGAAAAAAACTTATGCTCATTATGGGATTCACCATTTCTCAATTTCATGAAATCAAGACTAGAGTACTTTTGGGGAGACCCATATCAGTCAAACAGTGGATGCAGGATGGCATCTAAGTCATCGCTAAAGTAAAATAATGCAAAATGGACACTGGCTCCTTGCCTACAAAATCACATTGTTCTAAGTAACCTTTAAACTTTTTTCTTTGTTGTGTTTTTTGTTTGTTTTTTTGTTTGTTTGTTTGAGGTTTTTCTGGTTGTTTTTGGTTTTCAGTAAAATGCTAACACAAGTAGAAGATTGACCTAAACTCAGCTACTCTCTTATCTTACTAGATGATAAATGATTCATATGTAATACTTACTATACTTAGATAAGTATTTCTAATGTACTGATCACAGCATTATATGATTAAAAGACATGATTCCTTTATCTTTAGTGCCTGCTGCACTAGAAGAAAAGTGAAAATTCTTTTTTCAAGCTCTATTATATTTACTTGTACATTCCATATATGAAGAGATGCCAAAGATGCAAGTCGTTGAGAAATCATAGGAAAAGAAGGCTTTGACACAACACAGTAAAATCATCACCTTGAAGGGAAGATTTGAAAGGGAAGAAAGACACCAGCAACACCAGTTAAAAATAAAAGTAAACTAGAGTAATAGCTTCTAGCTTGGGAATAATAACCAAGAAAACCTTTGAAGATAGGCACAGCAGAATTCAGACAGGACAACAGTATATGAGTATAGGAAGGACTTAGTAAGGCATCATGATTTCTCAAAGCCAAGAAAATATAAACAGTCATGTCTGGTTCTCATCAAGGGACAGTGAAAGCTCCAAAAGGAACTGAAAGCACAAGGAACAGCACGGAGGCCAAAGGATGCATCTTTAGATCCTACAGTGATATGACAGCAGTAAATCACATACGTAGTTTCAAGATTTACATAAAGGGAGTAAGAGTTTTATGACAAATCTTCCAATACTGGTCATAGCAGAAGAGGAGTAAGCACAGAAAAGAACTGCTGCTGGAATCAAGATGTGTGCATTCTTTATTTCTGAGGCAGACAGAGAATGTTTTTAATCTCATCTATTTATCAGTAAAAATTACCAATCATGGGACAAACACAAATACACAAGTCAGTTTCACAGTGCATTGCCTGTAGCACAGCACTTGCACAGAAGAAATTATTAAAGCTCATAAGTCTGCCCCTAAGACAGATTTCAGGCCTTTGATTATAAAAGATGCCCACTCAGGAAGATAGCATTATCCCAGCCGGCAAAGCAGAGCATTGCATTCAGAATAGGTTAATAAGAAAATAAAGTGGAAGCAAAGAAACCCAATAAGTACAAAAAGTAATCAGCATCAGGTTTCACATTTAAGGCCATCAGCTGTTACCTGGATTTCTAGTTCAGCAATATGCTGTTGGAGCTCAGCCACAGCTGCAATGCGGTCTGCCTCACGGAGCCGGACTGCCATCACTTCTTCTTTACTCTGAAAAAAGTAATAGATTGAAGCTAACAAATAATATCAGTTTCAATTAATTAAAGACCATGCAGTGCTTTTACCCAAACTCATGTCAGTAAAGAAAACTGAATATAATACTGCATGAACTATCATGCCAATCAACAAGGCATACTCTAGAGAACCCAAATTTCATTTTAAGCCAAAGAATTGTGTGATCATCTAATATAAATTCCAAATTATAATAATACATACAAAAAAACCCTGTGTAGTTTTGAAAACATGCTATTATACATTTCCAGGACTATAAAACAGCTTTCTTGTGCTCCAGAAATGTTGATTGTAAATTAACAAAAAGTACCAACATATAAAAACCCAGTTCATGCTTCAACTTTTGACTTTATACATAAGAAAAACTACACAAGTTACTTAATTCATCACTCTCTGTATAAAAAAAACAACCCCAAAACCAAACACAGGAGCACGCACATTCTCAATCTTGCCTAAGTCTAGGTATCTTAGTCACACTACACAATAAAGATTTGCAAGACAGTTTAGAATAAAATTCTAATGCCTGTAACCTACAATCAGACTCTTGATACAAGTTTCACCTGTCAGTTATAATGAGAGACAAGTTGTGTTTTGACAACAGAGAAGAAAATTTCCTTATTTCTGTTTTACGAGGCAAGTTCCCAAGACTTCAGAGCACAAAACAAGCACAGAGAGAAAACAGTGACAGATGGTGACTGAGGAATACTTTCAGCTGGAATACATGTAACTCTGGGGAAGAGACAGACTAGGCCTAGGTGCACACATTTTTCTGTCAGACTGGTGTTAACTGTGCAAACTCTAGTTACTGTACAGTTTTCAGTTATTTTAATATGTATTTCAGTTATTTTAATATGTGCTTCAAATTAATGGTACTTAGCCACCCTTCATTAGACAATTTGGTTGAGACTAAATTGAACATGCCAAAGCTTATCTATAGTAGCTACTTGAAAACATGCTGTTCATTTAAAACCAAAGATTCCTTCAGTGAAAGCACATAGAATCATAGAATAGTTAGGGTTGGAAAGGACCTGAAGATCATCTAGTTCCAACCCCCCTGCTGTGGGCAGGGACACCTTATGCTAAATCATCTACATAATCCAATCAACAGCATTTGTAATCAGCGGAGTCCATTTCAGAGGAACCCATCATGTGCTAACCCATTATTGCTAAATTCTGCTGCACAATTGCTTGAATGAAGCCAAAACCACGAGTCCACAGGATTGCATGTATCTAACTGAAAGCTGAAGGACAGACTGGCTTGGTTTGACTTTGATATCTGAAGTCAGTCAATAGTGTCGCTCTAGATGACAGTGATGCTTTATCTCTGAAACAGAACATGTTCTCAATAATTACCACAAAAGTTGATATAGTAGGAAAGACAAGACTGGGGTGGGGGCACAAGTCTTATGTTGGAAATTCTTTAGCAAAACTGATTAGAAAACTCAGTGCTGTGTTTCAAGAAACAATGTGAAATTAAGTCCTTGCTGTAGAACCAGTCATCAGGTAAAAGGGGAAAACCATAAGAGTACACACCAGTGACAGAGCTGCCATACAGGTAGTATGAGATGCAACTGCTTCAAATATACTAATTTCTACATATGGTATTTTAAGCTATCCTTTAAAGAAAAACACAAGCTGTGGAATTAATGTACCAATTCTGCATAGAAAAAACAACTGGGGATTTGAAAATAATAGATCCTTTTATGATACACCTCTTCAAGTCAAAAATACTGCTATCTAGCAAAGATGAAGTGACAGAAAACTAGACCATGATTTCAGATTCTTTGAAACAATAGGAAGAAAAATCAAACACCAGTTTCTAATGGAGCCAGGAATAACAACCTTGCTAGATTTAACATGCAAGGTGGAAGTTGTAAAATATTTAGTGCTACAAAAACTTCACATTTGTCTGTATTGCTCCAAGACATTACCTGAAAGACTACTGAAACTTTCATCATCAGTTTTGAATACAAAGTTGTTGTATAAGTAACACGAAATAGCTTTATTTCAGTTGTTTACTCAGCAGTACTGCCTTTTAAATTCAGCCTACCTGCTATTATCTGTATTGCAAGCCAAATCTAAGTTGGCAGCAACACTATTTAGCAAAGTTACAGACACTGAATCTACTTCTGGAAGGACTGTAGGAATGACGAGTCTGCTGTTACCGCTGGAGGCTAGCCCTTCACATTTTTAACGTATGCCTTACACAGCAGCAATAAGACACTGGCTCCTCATACACCACATTAGTACAAAAAAACACCACCACCACCAAACCAGTAATGGTTTGGCCTGATAAGAATGTTCCTCCATATTAAACATCAGCTTTAATTTCAATTCACTTCAACATTAAAATCTCATTTTCCTGACACCGTGAAACAACCTTAAACAATCCCAAGCAAGAATTTCCTTCATTTATTGTGGTACAGAGGTAAGAGACAGGAACCTAAAATAGTCTCTTCAGAAACAAGAATAAGTGAAAGCATTTAGCATGAATGTTACATTAAGCTAAAAGTCATGATTCCAGTAGCTTGAATGTGGAATGACAGAATGACAATTCTTACAAATCAACTGTCAAAGGCTTTTTATTTCCTTTTATTTTTCACTTAACTGTATATCATAGAGTTTGAAATTGAAAAGTTTTTCGTAAGTTTGAAACAGCAAGAGGAAACTCAATACAAAGTTTTGTCCTATTTAAGGAGCAAGAGAACACGTAAACTCGTAAATGTGGCTTAATTTTTTTGATGACAGCATTCTTATTAAATCTGTACATTACTGAATTGGCTGTATAAGAGAGTCAAATCACAATGACAGTTCACAACAAATGTCAGGGATAGAGGGAAACTGGAACCCGAAAGGAAACTACATTGAAGAAAGGTAGCTTCCATCAAGTTAAATTTGAGCATTTTTCAATGCAGTTGGCAGAAAATCCATGGGTATTTATACAGTACAAGAGTCTATATGGTCTTACACTAAGCCTCATCCCAAGAAGTAACAGTCTAGCTCACAGTTAAACATTAGAGCTCTAGGTAATTTATATGCAAATTGGTAATATGTCTTTTTATATCATAAACATCCACTTGGAAAACAATTTCAACTGTATTCTTTTTCCTGTTGGTGACTGCAAAACAAGTTCCGGGATCTAATGTTAGTGTAAGTCAGTATCACTACTTCACTAGCTATTGACCACCACTACTTTAGGAAAATATCTAAAAAATATGGCTGGTGCTCTGTCTACTACTATCACACTTTTCTCTAAGCCATGGTAGAACATAACTTTCCAAGCAAATTATCCCAGTGAGAATAGTCATTAGTCAGCTTAAAGACATACTACTCTTTTTAAGCGACATTAAAGCTTCTGAATATCGACTACGTCTTCTTCATCTTTTAAGGATTACTGAGTGCCTTCAGTATCAAAAAGCAATCAAAGTTATGTGTTATATGAAAAAACATGTCAGCAAGGCAGTGAAATAATGGAGAAAAAAATCAAAAGGAATAATCTCAGATTTTTTTTTTAAATAAAGCACTTAGGAAACCAGTGTTTATTGTAAACATAAACCAGCCAACAGAAACGATTTCTTCTAATTAAGATGCAGTTTCTTGTTTCCTAAACAAGATGTGGTGGAGTTTGAAGACTCAGAAGTTAAATGCTTTAGATTCAGGTTCCACTGGAAACAAATGGATCTGGCAAGACAGCAAGGAAAATGAAAACCTAACGGAACCTGAAATAATGAGTATATCCCAGTTATTTAATGTTCTCAAATTTCTTAAAAATGGAACTGAACAACAAAAAATCAGGAGTGTGATGCTATAGGAAATCTATGGACATTAATAAGGCTGTCATTTCATCTCCATGCTAGGTGACAGTGATAAATCACTCAAGCAGTGTTCAATCAAGTCTTGATTTATACTGCCCACAGAAGCCTTTGATGGAACAGCAGCTAACGCAGTCTTTGGGGTATGTATGTGTGTTACAAGCAGAATGTATATTGGATAGAACTGAGAAACAAACATAAGAGTAGGAACAAGTAGTGCACATACAGAAGTTTTGTTAACTTGAAAGACAAAACTAAAATGTGATCATGAACAGCAAATTATATAACATCTGCTCTCAAGTTGCCAACTGACAACCAGTTTAATAAATAGCATTCTAATTGTTCATTTCATATTACAGTACTATGTTTAACATAGAAGTTTCTTCTTTAGAAATTACTGATTGTTCAGCACTAGCTAATTTCATAAAAGACTAATCATACAACTTTTCGATTAAGTATAGAGTTGTTTTAATGTCTTTAGCAAATATTTTAACTATAGTGATTTATTAACTAATACTTGCCATTTTTTAAAATAAATTCAGTAGCAATTTCAGGAATATTTTCAACCAAGAGAAAAAAAGCTTAAGACTTATATTTCCTGTCTACATTATGTGTGCACAAGTTAAACACATAAGTTATTAGTAAATGGTTATGGATTTAGTTACAAAAAATAATTAAATCTGAGATTCAAACACCAGACTGGGCTCTTTTGTGCACTGGCAGTAGTAAAACCAGCTTTTGCTCTGTTCCCTTAAAGTCTAGTTACTAATAGGCAATGAGTAGTATAACACTCCCTCCTATAGACTTCTCTGTTCAAATACTACTCGCACTCCCTTTCTCTGAAGCTAAACTAATTCTGCAGTAACAGTCAGTGTTGAAGTAATGAACCTCTTCTGTCAGTAAAGACAATCAGAGTCCACAGCTACCAGAATCTGATGGGGAAGAGTGACTTTTTATAAGTTATACACAGACACTCTTCTGAGTAGAACCCCACTTTAAAGTCTATCTTTCTGGGATCACAAAGAAGTAGCTCTGTCAAAACCTCAAGTGATTTTTGTGAGACAGTAAATTCAATACGATATTGTCGAATGAGATAAGAGAAGTTTTGGGTTTGTGATCTCTACTCAATGAAGACAATTCTATGCAACAACAGCAGACAAGACTAAAAAAGTACATACACATTAGCACACAAATAGTCAACATTGTGAATAAATATTATTTACCTTGCATTCAATCTCTGCTTGTCTACGTTTTGCTTCATTCAACTGAGCAAGAAGTCCTTTGTTCTGTGCAGAAAGATACTGTACCTTCCCTTGTAGGCTGGTAACCTCTTGCTCTGCCCTTCTTAAGTGGTTACTATTAATCTGATTCTGAAATTTATGACAAGAAAGAGAAAGAAAATGCATGTTAAGGAAAGATCTCTGACATTAATTTAACTCCTTAAAGTCTGACAAGAATGACTTGTAGATCATTGACTATAAAAAACTTTTGATGAAAAGGCATTCAGAATTTTCTAAATGTAATCAGAAAACTTTGCATGACATTTGGTTTATGACCACGACATTCAAAGTGTTCTTAAACAACAGATGACTCATTGTAAGAACATTACTGCAAAGTTCCTGTAATTGTTTTTCCCAATCTCTTACTTAGATAAGGCAAAGATTTTGTGAGCTTTTCTCCCAACTACAGTAAGAAGCTGACACATCCAAGAAGCATCAGGTATGTTAGAAATACAATGTGCACATTTCTTTCCAGTGAATTCCTGAAAGTAATGTGGCACCTTAATTGAGATCACTGCATTAGTACAAGTCACACCATTTTTACGTGAAACTGTACACAGACCAATAAATTAAAATGAAAACCAATTCATTTCTGTAGGATGACAGCTGAATAGCATAAGTATGTACAAAGACTTGATACATAAATACTGAAGCGAGAAGTACCTAAAGGTGTTGTGATATATAATCCAGACAGCAGGATACATATGCCCCCTACTGACTAAAACAAACACTCAGATGGGGAAAGACTAACAAAAGCCCACATTTACCCTAGTGAAATAGTATTAACACTGCAAGTAAAATTTTAAAAGGTCAGAGAAAACATTTATCCAGTTGCTATAGAAAAAGTGTGCCACTGTCAGAAATGAGCCACCATATTCCCTGCAGTTCGCTCATCTCTCTAGCACACCCTTACATGCTTTCCTAATTTCTGGGATTGCTGAAGCTTGCCAAGTAGAGCTTTTGCTTGTTTAGCCTTTTCAATGCACAGACTCCTTCAAGTAAAAGTTACATTGAGGAGCTATTTCATGGGCAGGTTTCTCAAAAGCCTGTTACAAAACCCTTCTCAATCAACTGCACATTATGCTTATTGATTCAGTTGACAGTTCAACTAATATAATATGAAGTCACCAACTGTAAAACACTTTCATTGCTTAACAACCTATTCCCTAGTTACCTTTTTGGCAGACAAGTTATTTTTGTCTGATCTGTACAAATCTCAGCAATAATGAATCATATTTTCCTGGCATATGAAAGGTAAAGCTTCTGCTAAAAAACCCCTGGCAACGTACAGCTATTTTGCTGTGAGTCCACAGTTTAGTAGCCAGACTCATCACCTCAGTAGGTAACCTAGTATAGGCAATTTCATCAGAAAAAAGAAAATACTGCCATTTGAAGAATTAGAATTACTGTTATCAGCATAATCAGAATTAGGGTTGTGAAATTTAAGACACCTTAGATGCACTTTTGTTGTTACAACAGTTACAATTTAATGAATTGCAATTCACACACATTTACAGATTCTACCAACTAATCCAAATGAGAAACTCAGAAAATCCTGGAAAAGACTACATAAAAGACGTTAAAGTAAGGTAGATTGTATGTACTAGTCTCCTTCCTAGTCTAAAGGCATTAAAAAGCACATTTTGGAATTAAAGTTACACCTGTAGATGATAAAGATTATTGGATCTCTACCATTTGACACCAATTTGCCAGCATTCAGCTCCATTCATACATGCTAGCATTCAGTAACATACCTGTGTTTCCATCTCCATCATTCTTTGTTTGGTCTCTTTCAGTTCAGCCTGAGTTTCTGCTTCTCTCAATCGGACTGTCATCAGCTCATCCTGTAGCTCATTCACTGTGTTTTTTCTGGGAGGATCTTTCCATCTTCCAGTGGTACGAGCCAGATGACTCTGAAAAAAACCAGCATGGCACTGCTGACAATGCCTGATCATTCCTGGAGTCCCCTTATTTCATTTAAGATCTCAGAGTTTCATAGGACAAGTTACCATTGTGCTTTTGTTTGTCTTAAAATCTAGAAACCCATGGAAACTTACTAGCTTTAAGAACAGACAATTAAAAAACTGAAGGCAGTCATCCACAACTGCAATAAGACAGTAAACTGCAGGAATATCCTGAGACTTTTGCCTCTTTCTAGCCCTTAATATTTAGTGAAATGGTATTGTTCAGGTACTGCCTTTCTACCAGAACAATTAAACGGCAGCACAGGCTCTCTGACATCTAGAACAAGGAATCAATTCCTAACATAGTTTTGAAGTAAAGTTTCTTGCGGCAGCTGCATCTAAAGGTTTTCTCACCTCAGCAGCTTGATCTGCAATCACTAGTTTCTACTTGATCTCTACATCTCAAAATTGTGCTTTATTATCATTCACTGAAAATAAACTGTTCAAAGTGTATTGCTACACATACCTGCCAGTGTTCCTCCAAATCTTTGACTTGCTGCCTTAGTTCTTTGAGACCCATCAGAGCTTCTGCTTCTCTTAATTTTACTGCAATCAGTTCTTCTTGTAGTCTAGCAATGTTTTCCTCATCAGGGAGAGAGCTGTTCCTCTGCAACAAGGACCATCCTCTTAAATATGTATTTGAATAGATTTGTGCTTAGCGAGACCCACACCAAAGATATAGGCATGGAATATTAACTCTTCTTACTAGCCAAACTTGCTTAGTTACACATCCTCTGCAAAACAAAAACCTTCAGAAATCTAAGTTCCTGGATATAGCAAGGGTATACAAGTATCATCCACCAGCCAACTACAGAAAAAAAGTTGGCAAGTTAGTTTTAGGTATTCTGACTTACAGATTTCCTAGAATGGTATCCCTAACAGAGCAGTATTGACACTATTTTGCATATGGCATCTTAAAACATGGAGAAAAATCTGAAATATTTTGAGCTACGATAAAATTAAAGAAAATTCAGAACTGAAATTACACCTTTAGAGTTATAACTTTCATTTAGATTTACAGGAAATCTATTTTTTGGGAAGCCATCTGGCTTTGTAAAGGACAAAAGATATATTGACAAAGGAACCATCCATTAATATTGATAAACAACAATCAGTCAAGAAAAGGTCTTACAGATGAAAGTGCATGGATATTTACAAAAACACACAAGGAAAAAGTAGAAAGACTAAAGAAAGCTAAACAGAAAACAGGAAAACACAAGGCAGGAGTGACCTGGGTAAAGTAAAACAGCAATGAAAGCGAAATAATGAAAGCGCAAATAACGAAAAACCAGGGGGAAGAAAAGGGACACAGTCTGCCTAACTACCATGGCCCTACATCAAATCATTGGTCACCAAATACTTAAACTGTGCTTCATCCCTTTCTACTGTGCTTCTCAGTAGTAATTTTCAGCAAAATGAAGTATGTATGTATATATGTAATACTGTGACAATTGCCAGGTCTTCTTGAGGGTCAAGAGCAAAGTGCATTATTAACATTAATGGAACACAGCACAAGAGCCATTTATGAGCATCTCCACATTTCAAAATCACAGGATCCAAGTACTGGCAAATATAGGAAATGACAGGCTGAGCCTCTGAATGCTTACATCACCGATAGTATAGCCATGCAGGTCTTGGGTAACAGAACAGAATCTTCCCAGGTTATGTGACACATCACTAAATGAGTGGTAAACAGCTCTATATGTAGGAATTTCAGGGAGTTATCTTAGGTCACTTTCTCATGTGCCCAAGTTAATTATGACAAACTGTTACTACTGTGCATCTGTGTTTATCTGCTACACTGGAATTTCACTCACTGCTCCAGTTTCTCCTTCACATTAAATTTCTTGATGTATGCTATCTTCATGCTGATAAAGGTTAAGTGAAGCAGCAGTCTCTTTCTGAACTTAGAAAAATAAGTTATATACCCAGTTCTTATCAATGTTTAGTACAGTAAAAACTACCAGACTGTTAGCCTGCCAGACTCCTAATCAAGCACCTCAGATATAAACAGAAAAATCTTTATTCCAGTGGGTTAATCTAGTAAGTTTTGGCCACAATGCTGAGTACACAGCTCTAAAATTTCTATGAGGAAACAACTTCCAAAGCCAATACAACAGGATTTGAAAACCATGCTTTATGTTGGGGCAGTGTTCTGGGTTCAGTCAGTTAGTGGGGTTTTTATTTCCACTTCTTCTATTTTATTTTGCATGTAAGTTTTTCTTCAAAGACATGTAAACATTTGACAGTTGGTTTGAGTACAGCTTGAACTCTGGCATCAGTAAGTCACAAGCTGGGATGGCACCCAAAAAGGAGTAGAGATTTTGATATTAAACAGTGGAGGTGTTCTTTCCCTGCCCATTATGGAACAAAGTGGGAGATACTCAAGAACTGGGAATGCTGAACTCTTTCCTCCACCCCTCCCAAACTATTTATTTTCACATCACCTCAATGCTCATTCTGAGCCTACTGCTCTTGTTGCAAGATAAAATTGAGGCAATTGATGTTTTCTGCAAAGACTCCAGCAGAATCCAAGTTTTGCACTGCAGTGAAGTTCAGAAACAGAAGAAAAGTGATCTGTTCTTCACAAACCTTTCCAAGTGCAGACAGATCTTAGGTTTTTTTGCTCAATTAACTTCAGGTTTGAAAAGCCATGAAAACACAGAAGAGAAGATTTAAGAGCACAGTAATGCAAAGAATTACAAGGACCTGTATTCTCTTTCTAGTGTTATTTTATATAGAGGGTCCTGGTTTGATTTACCTTTTCCATCTCTAGAACTTTATCTTGCATCTCCTTCAAGGCACAATGGGATTCTGCTTCACTCAGCCTGGCTTGGACCAACTCTTTTTCCAGCTGTAGCACAAAGTCTTCACTGTATTGTGAACTGCATTTATGCTACAAAGTTTGCAGAAATATGTTTAGTATGAAGCACAGATGGTTTGAAAGGGATTTTATTTGCCAGATTCAAATGCTTAACATTAGGAATACTAGCTTAAGATCAACAGAAGTGCTTACCTTACGCAAGCCTATTAACATGTCCTTCCAGACTGCTAACTAAGAAACGTACTGCTGTGCCTCTCCAGCAACTGCACCTCCACACAGCCAAATGTGTAAAACCAAATTGAGACTTTAATTAGCACTGATGAGCAACAATTGACTCTTTGTTACCCAAACTGAAGACTTCTCAAAAGTTCTGTGATTATTTTGTTATATGCAAAAAAAGATGCTTAGGAAAGACTGGCTAATTGCAAGATTAATACAAGTATCTCTCTTAATCTCTATTCACTTAAGCTCTGATTTAACAGAAACTTCTAATAACTTGGATTTGAAATAAAGTCATGTATGCTTTAACGCACAGCCACTTTAGTTTGCCCCTTTCTTCCAATTCCAACCCTTAGCTCTCGTTTCCCACACTATACATATTTCTTCAGAGATTCTCTTTTAAAGCAAGTCTTGTAGATTTATGAGAAAAATCCAGGCACAAATAGCAGTATAGCTCCTTCTAGACAGACAGCATAGGCCAAAGCTACAACGAAATTTGGTTCTTTCCATATAGGACTTACTCCAAAACTATCCCTGACCAGCTTTGCACACCCAAACACACACCCTCAGTAATAAAACACCCTTTCCAAACCTCATGGGGGAGGAGGATAAAAAACCAAAACAAAAAAAAAAAAAAAAAAATCACAGTTAATTCACCATTAACTTATTTCTTGCCTGTTGATTAGCTGGAATTCAAGGTGAGATCTATCCTTTCACTTGCTAAAGCAAAATTTCATGAAATTGCATCTTTCGATAGATGGATCCAACTGAAGTTGTATTAAGCATTTATATTCAAAAGCCCCGCTTGCTCTTTTTAACTACTGACTGAAGAAACAAATTGTTTTCTTTCTTCCCTGTGTCACTTTAAAATGACTTGAGATTCACCACAGATTGTCAGACCATGCCATCCTACAGCAGCATTGACATTGAAATCCCCAAAGCACAGATGCCTAGGTAGTGTATGCATAGGTACTCTGAAAATTAAAGGGGAATTGTTTAGTACATCTTTGGTGCCATTAAATACATTGTGAAGAATATATACTAGGGTTCACAGATGTAAGTTTTATTCAATTAACAATGCAACTTTAAAATCCATAGAGCAGTTGTTATACTGAAGATACAACTATTTCTTATTTTGTTTGCATCAAACAGTTTAGTTTTCTGCATCTAGAAACAGTTGACAAGATTAACAGAAGAGTCTTCAATCCTGCATGCTTCTGTTAGGGTATGACATTCCTTGACCTTTAATGCACAAGCCAAAGGCAAACAGGACAAAACAAGGATTTACAGCATGTAACTACATGGTCAAGGAACTGGGTTTTAATTTGTTTTTATACTTCTGCACACCACCTAACCCTTTCATCATGACTCAGTAGAACCAAAATTCAAAATCTACACTAATGTTAGTGTTACAATTTGTTGTATTGTTATGTATATATATGCCTACAGGGAGCTATAACAGAGGGGATTTATACAAAGCATTAAAAGGCAGAAATAGCTCACAGAGGTAGTCTTTAGTGTCATTAAGACTATCCATTTAACTGCTCTTTCTACTTAACTGTGCAGTTGAACAAAGTAAAAAGATCAGTATATTTAATATTAGTTTTTCCTTATGCAAGACTAATTTAATCCCGCTTCTTTTTAATTCACATATTCTCTTTGTCTCGGCAAGCAGTGGAGGTAGGCCTGATTTGAGTGTAAGAGAGGATGGGTGGACAATGCTGATGTATTTCCACAATTGCTTCACATAATCTTTCTTACTCCCTGGCTGTTGGTAGAGCTTCATCAGATGATACACACAGCAACCTAAATGTACCCTATCTTTCTTGTTCCAGATTCTGCTTATGGAACAAGAATGCATGCAGTGTTCTTCCCTCAGGTAAGAAGTCCTCTTGTACTTCCCAGGAAACAGAGAGAAAACAAGAGATCTGAAGAGCTGAATAAATATTGTTGCAAAACCGGGATGCAAGTTTATTCCAAATAATTTTGGACTAAAAAAAATTAACTGATATTTGTCAAATCGTAACTAATGAAAAGTATAAGAAAAGTTACTCATCCAGTTTTAGGCACAAGTCATTACTTCTTTAAATTGGTCTTTAGATTTCACCCGCCTAAGGGATACACTAGGAGTACTTATCTAGCCACAACACACTTTAAATCAAGTCTTGATAGACTGGTACCCTCTCCCCCACCCCCAAAGAAAAAAAATATATCCACGATCAAAACAGATTAAAAAAAAAAAAAATTTAAAATACTCAAAGTTATAAGTTGTGATGTTTTACTCCTTCCAAACACAAAATTTTAGCAATTTAGTATATATAAAGGTAACAAGTTCATAGTCAAAAGACTGTTTGATAACTAAAGACCAGCTTCTTTAGCAAAAGAACTGCTTTTAGATATTTTCCTTAAGCCGTAAAATGTTTGACAAAATCCACAATGTCAATCCAGATTTCCAGGCAGAAGCCAAATATTTTAACCAGAGCAACGCTGTTTGCCTTGGCTGTGTTGAAAAGATGTCTGTTACATAAAGCACTCCAATATAGTTCTACAGCTATCTACTTCTGAAAGAAACAAGTCCTTGCTTGGCTTCACAGAACTGTTTTTATTTTCCCCCAACACTGCTTAAAAATCTTAGTAACATCTCTGAAGCTGGCATAACCATTCCTAATAATATTTTGGCTGATGATAGATTACACAAAGTTACAGAACGCTTTTCCTACACTGAAGGGCAACTAACAGATGGTTCAGAAGCTGCCCAGCTAACTTTGTTTGCACAGGTAAGTGCTAACTGTAGTACTTTACTAAATACAGTAGTTTTATTTTGTGCTTTTTGGTTGCAAAACAGAACATAACGTAAAAGAACCTATATTATACAATAAAGCAAAGCTTCCATAAGCTTGCAGCACTCATTTACAAGCACACATTACTTTATTATTATTATGCTCTCAATTAATATAAGTCACTTTAGCATGAGTTCCTGAAAACAAGCTATGCATTATGGAGTTGCTGTAACAGTGACCAGATTCATGGCTATAAATGACCTTGCAAAATACATATGCTTCCATCTGAATGTTTAGTCAATTAAAATTCTATCTTCACATAACACACTTGAAGAGCCTATTTAAAAATAAGATGTGAAGCAATTTAGCTTGAACTCTCATTTCTCACATTCGATTTTCAAGCATGCAGACTGATGAGCTAGGTAATCATTGAAAATTAGAGTAACATTGAGAAAGATTGAGATCTGTGTTCTAGAGGTGTATTTAATTGGCAGAACTCATTTTTATACATCCAGCAGAAGCCATCTTTTTCATTTAGGAGCAACAGCAGAAAAAGGAGAGAAAAACTTCAGCGTGTAATTATTAGGAGCAAGTTTAAACAGGCTTATTATGCTCACCCCTAACTCTTAAATACCATCACTCTTGAATGCCTTAAAAGAAAACTTCCTGTACTCTGTTGAAGTCAGGTACAACTTCCTCTATGCAGTTCTTGATTTACTATAAGTATGAGGAAGAGATCTCCCTCCTCTTAATCTTCTGGCTACCCACCACATCAAGAAGCCTTTGGCAAGTTTCTATATTTAAAGAATATAGAGACAGATTAGTACCATTCTCTTCGAAACCATTCTGGCAAATATTGAGATAGCTGAAGCACTGAACTCCAAGAGCATTTCAGAATATTTCTACCTTTACAAGTATTTTTTTCCTAGCTATCAATATAAAAAAATTGTACAGGTTTTTAAAAACTGTTTTTAAAAGTTTCAAGGTTTTAGATTTAAAAATTAAAAATTTTTAATTACACTGGTTTTAAAAACCTTAGTAAAAAGCAATGCTGTAAGTGTAAGATCTAAAAGTTAGCATCCAAAGTAAAATTAAGTGTGAAGTCTCTATCCTAAGCATTACTATCTTCTGCTTCCTTTCCTGCCCTCCAAATCACCTTAAATACATTCAGAAATATGTAGAATACATTTAACTACACTTTAACATGTGATATATTATATGTTCATTGGTACTATTTTCAGGTTGTCTGGAAGAAGTACGATAGCAGAACTTCCCTTCCTTTCACTAAGAAGCAATGATAAGAAATTTGTAGACTCATCACATCATAATAAAGTCACTCTGGTTCAACTAAAAACTCCCTACATATATTGCAGCACAGGAAAAATTCAAGTTGCATGTAATTTGGGCTTCTGCTGTTGGACTTGAGTGAGAAGAACATTCCTCTACCCATCTCTGTATTCAGCCTTACGAATAAGTGCTGCTTCTTTATATACACATATCCTATAAGCACTTTCCATACTTACCTTTAAGCCATCCAACCTGTATAATCAAAATCTCTATCAAATCTCATACAGCAGGAGTGCTCTCAAATCTCAGGACAGAATAAACCCTAGATTATATTTAAATACAAATGTATAACCTTTTTACAAAGGATGGGTTAGTTTTCTTAGACATGCCATGGTTTAGAGAATATTTTTGCTGTCAACAAAACAAAACCCCTAATCCTATGTCTCCTGCCTCATGATTTAAAAGTAACAGCGAGTTGATTTGGGATTGTGGAGATTTTCGGTTGTTGGTTTGGGATTTTTTTTAATCGCATAGCGTTCAGAAAAAGCAGCCACAGGTATCCTTAGGCAGTTCTTTTCACACATTCCTATTCAGAAATTCAAAGCCAAGCTTTATAGTTTCTATCACGCTGAAACAGATAACTCAAGATTGGAAAAGATGTAGATAATATGTAGGATAGATGCTGTACCATTAATTGGACATAAACTACACAATTCATTTTTTAAGTGCAATCATTTTTGCTAATCAAACAAAACAAATAATTGGAGGGAAAAAATATTAAAGCAAGTATTTGTACAATAAAACTGAGGAAGTATTGCCAAGAGCAAAAAAAGCTGCTGGCACTCGGAAGCAGCAAAGAGATTCATTCATCTGTGTACTCTAAATGCAATGCCAAAATTCGAAACAAATTCATGGATTTCCACTAGGTGGTATCCTACGTGTACGCAGCTGTTTACAGCTGTTGCTCCCGTTTCCATGCCTCAGAGACACACAGTTAAAAAGCCTGTTCAATGACAACTGTTAGTAGTGCAGCAGAGTCTGGGGAAGTGCTAACTGAAACCATCTTCACACTTTCATCATGTTGCTTATGTTAATCCAGATGGCTCTCAAAACCAAAATACTATTCCTTATTCTTCAAAATTAGTCATCTCCTAGGCACAAATCCCTTTATAACCATGTGGATTTACAGCCTCAGTTCCACCCACAGTCAGACTATTTCCTATAGTCATGTTCACATTTAAGAGAGGGAAAACAATGCTCACATTTTACTTACTCTCTACTCCTGCAGAACCTGCCCAGTCTGCTGCCCTCAGCTCAAACCCAGCCAGTTCCACAATCTGGTTATCTATAGTTGCTATAGTTATAGTTATCTATAGCTGCTTAGGACCAGCTCCCATGCCTAGCCAACCTACCAAGCTTCCCCATCACTGCTACTTAGTAAGGTCCACAGCATAATTAAGAGCATTAGCTTTGAAAGTTGTATTAGCCATCAATTAACTAATAGATAAATTTAGCATTTTAGTCTCTTAACTTTTAATTCTGTATGGATAAGTAACACTGATGCTTCCAAAAACACATTCCAAAAGCATGTGTACTACTATAATCAGACAATAAACACCTGGCTACCCAGTCTATAAGCACTTCTTATTTTATTTCACGACAGTTTACAAAATACCTAAAGTTCTGTAAATCATTGCTAGAACATCTAGCATCTTCCCAGTTATAATTTCATGTTCTTTCTCTGAAGAAATTGCTAAAGTTAAAGCAGCATTACACATTATAGAGTAACAGCTCATCAGTAACTCCTTGCATCTAGAAGATGTACTGTTTTTACACCAAAATGCATTAAACAGATACAACAAGCTATTTCTATAATCTTGCATGTAAGTTATGATTTCTTTTCAATCTAACAGTAAATCTCACCTCTACCTTCCCAGATGAGATAGCAGGGATCTGGTAAGCAGCTGCAGCATGCTAAGCTCTAAAAACTTGTATTTCTTACACTTAAAATGCCCAGGGCTTCAGCCAAGTACTTGGACACCACTTAAACCAGTATGAGCATATTCACATGAACATTGCTAGTGCACATTTTATTCAGTAAGTGAAGATTGACAAAATTGCTGTTCCCCCCTGCCCTGCTAAGCGAAGATACAGAGCACTTTACAAGTGGCTTAGAGGCAGTCAACTTCAGTCTCATAGTAACAGCCTGAAGCCTTGCATATTATACTACCTAGAACACATAGTACATACAAACACAGAACTAAGAGCTGCTAAAGGTCATTTTCCTGCTTTATCTGCACATAAACCGACATCTTTTCATGAAGTCCTGTAGCTCCAAACTCAGGGACAATACCCTTCTACTTCTGCAAGCAACTACTTTATGCATGCTAGGAAAAAAAATGTAGGTACACAGAAGAAACATGGAGGAGACCGACTTAAATGAGAAGCTACATAAAAGCATTATGAATCAATTCTCAAATTTGAGTAGTCAGAGTGACACAATTTGCAATGGCTAGATTTTTAGCATTAGGAGCTACCAAAGGCTTTAGGTGTGGGTTGTTAGTATTTTTTTTTTGGTGATGGTGTATTTTTGGGTGGGTTTTTGTTGTTATTGAGGTTTCAGCTTGGTGTTTTGTTGCGGGTTTTTTTGTTGTCATCACTTTAAATTAGTAACTTACATCTACCCAGGGTTATGCATCTCATCTATCAGTAAGAAAAAGACCAAAATATCACTTAGTCCAATTTGTGTAATTTTAAGAATGCAAATCACAATGAACAAGCATTTACAAGGACAGCACAGAGACCATGTAATGATGAGTGAAAATAAACACGAGTGAAAAAGATGAGATGATGTGCTGCCAGGCTCCTTACCCATTGCTGCTGCTGTTGGAGCTCCCTGATGGTATTCTCAGCTTGCTCCAGTTTAGTAATGGCCTCATCACTCTGCTGTTTGATGGTGGCCAGCTCCCGTTTTACAAGGTAGTTTTCCTCAGCCTCCTGGGCCCTTGTCACTTGTCCCTTAGGACATAATTTATTTTTTTAAGCAATTGAGGACAAATCCAAGACAGACCGCCTTTGTGATGCTTAGCTGCTATTTCATCAGATTGCTTTTGCAAACAGCATGGAGTACAATTGGTAGAAATTTTAGGACAAAGTAGTACTAAACAGCTGCTTTACTACTTCATTACAAAGTTCAGCATTCGTTTAGCAAGCACAATTGTGTACTTGCATTCGATAAAGCTCCTTTCATGCAATGTTACTCAGTTGCACATGCACAGATTTAAGTTTGCAATATTCAAGTGTTAATACAGTGTCAGAGAATCCACTTCTCACAGGAATTTGTATTAAAAAATTACATTAGGTTAGGAAAATTATTACTATGTGCGGGTATTGGGTTTATATATTTTTAGTAAACAATATTAAACAAGTTTCTAGCAAGAGATTAGCTCTATATTTATTCCAAATCAGCAAAGCAAGGCATAGAGTACAGCATGCAAATATGCATGCATCAAAGCAATTTGGGGTTTTTTGAGAGTAGGAAGAGAGTCATACAGTAAAAGACTAAAAGACTATACCTGTATCAATCTATCTGCCAAGGAAGCACTTTCCTACAAAGGAAAAATTCAGATAGGAATAAGGAAAAGAAAAATCAAAAAACAAAGGGGTGATAATAGTGGCAAAAAGGACAAGAGCTGAGAAAAAGAAAATGCCCAAATTCTACCCATTTTCTGTACAAACTCTTTTAAGCTTGAAAGGAAGCAGCCTTTTCTGCAATAGCTTTAACACAGTCCCTGCTTACAAGAAGTTCTCAGAGCCAGATTTCCGTAACACTTCAAATTCACCTACAGGAGACTGAGTACTTAGATCCAACTGGCTGGCATCCCAATTAACAGAAGTTACACATACAGTATCTGATATGATCTAGGAGCTAGATGCGAGGTAGGGTCTATGGTCTGCCCACAATGTGAAAGGAAGGCATAATTTGAGCACAGAGGAATCTCCACTAAGCACTGAGGCATTCATGCAGAACTAAAGCTCCCAAATAGATGAAGCAGGAAAGTTAAATAGTGCAAACTGACAGACACAAGTAAAAAATCTGAACTATGACAGCTAGTATTTTGGTTTACTGAACTTGGTAGAGTAGTTAATAGATTCTCTTTCCTTGCCAAAATTTTTCAAGTAAGAAATTTGCATTGATGCATGCTGACAAGCACTACATCATCCCCAACCCGCCCTGAGTTGCACATTTCATTAATTTCTACCCTATCACCCTTGAAAGCACTCAGTTTTTGCATATTCTACAACAGAACACATCTATTCACAGATCATCTTCATCCTTGGAACTTTTATTAAAATTAAAGTTCAAACTGGTTGATAAGAGCCAATACTTAGAAGTTAAGGCAAGACATTTCTCATTAAGGTACATTTAGGAAATCACAACTGAATCAGACAGTTTAGGATGAGGAAAAATATATTTTATAATAAAAATAAGTTTCCAACAGAAGAGTTGAATGGGTGTGTTTACAATTTATGATCTGCTTTTCAGATGCTGTGATGAGAGCAAACATCATAAATTCTTATTAACAGATAAGATTTTCCCATTCTGAAATGTTCCAATTCCAGTCAGAATGGAACACTTAAAATGAGTTCTGAAATTTTTAGTACAGAACTTGCAACAGCACTAGTGTCTGGCAGTTCATCATGGACTTCCTAATTAAAAGCCCCTCTGATTTCAAACCTCTGCAAGTTAAGTGTACAACAGGGATATTTAGATTATAGATTTGTGAGGAGCATTGAAGTGATTTGCTACAGCTTCAAACTCCTTAAGAGTTTGCACTTTTCAGTTAATTTTATCAGCACTTCAATAGAAACAAATATGTTTATAAAATTGCATTTCTGGTCACGTCTTCCATATGTTCTCATTACTTGCATTTTCCCCACACTAAAAATTCAGAAATCAACTAAGGAGAATTTGCCATACGTTGACTGATTTTCCAAGAAATTGTAGTGGATTTAACAGCAGAAGTGACATCTTTTGGTTATGTCACTCTAAATTGAACCTCTACCATTTTCTTCCCTGTGAAACACAAACCACTGTTAGCAACTCACAACATTTCATTTCATTTGATGAAAGACAGTTGCTATTCCTGGTTAAGATGGACAAGAATGTTCTCATTCTAGAGCAGGCCAGCTCAGATGCAATCTGTCACAAGAAGCATGATACCAGAATATAGGAGAGGCCACTAGGGAACAAAGCCTTCATGCTGGCAATGTAGGAATACCAGTTATCATGCATACTTTTAAAGTCATATCCAGTTACAAAGAAGCCTAACAAAACTCTGCTCCAGACTAAATCTGTGTGAAATAAAAAATATTCTCCCCACACTGTACCCAGAATTGCTACAAAAATTCAAAACTACATAAAACAATTTCATAGCAGCAGATTTTCTGTACTGAATATGAATGCTGCAACACCACCCCTCTGTTGCTGTATTTGCTAGCGATGAAGTAATCTGCTTTCATCTCCATGTCTGGTCATTGGTAGGTCTGTCATTTTGCTCCTATGTAAAAACACCCAGCAAGGTCAAAATTGAGGATTCTCTCGCAATAACCTCTTTTCCACCCAAGCAGTCCACTACTTCATGTAGTCTTCTGGACTTTAAACAGATGCTTCTAATTCAGAAAGAAAACAGTACAACAGAAGTTGGATATGTCAAAATGTTTGATTTCATATTCAGTAAGAGTCAGACTTAACAACTGCACACATTTACAAGCACTGACCCTAACTGTTTCATTATTGCCATGCTATTTGGCTAAGCACTGTTAGTAAACACCATAGGTTAGCAGAAAACAGTAAATTCTGAGATTTCCATTTCATATAATAAAATGGCCATGAATTTAAGTATAAATTAACACAGGTCCAATATAATTACCAACATACTTACTTTTTCTAGTGTTTCAATGCGCTGCTTCAAGAGTCTATTTTCAGTTCGTAGCCTCTGGAAGGTAAATGGTTCAGAACTATATTTCTCAAGTTATGAACTGAAAGTCTGATAAAAACCAAGCAAGCTAAAACCATTTTTATCACGCCACATCTATGAAATGCCATCTCACTAACACAGCAGATCTTAGCAGAAGACAGTGAATGATTTATATAAGGTCCCAAAGAAGGGCTTAGAAACAGACAGCTTTGGGTTGCTGGGTTTGGTTGGTTGGGTTTTGGTTTTGTTTGGGTAGGGTTTTTTTGGTTTTGAGATTGGGGGAAACAAGGAAGGATTTGAAGTAAGTTGAAAGATTAGAATCTGGAGTTAAAGTTGTCTTTCAAATGGTATTATTCTGTCCTGTTCTGCAGAGGGCCATCATCTGAGTCCTGCAAATCTATTTCAGATGCCATTACCAGATCCTAAAGCTGCCAACTGCCTCTGTGCCTGTTACAACAGTAACTGCCTGAAAAAGCTTGGAACACCTTTGTGCCTCCAGGTACATGCCACTGAATTGTGAACCCATGCCTCAGAAAGTGATACTGAAAGGCAAAATGACTAGCAGTGGTCAGGAAGAAGTAACCTGTACCTCTCTCCCTCCACTAAGCTTTATATACTGCACTTGACTATCATTTCTCCCACTGCCTTTTCTCATGGAACTGGCTAAAAACATGACACAAGGAAGGAAATCCAGATCAAACACCATGCTGTGAATAAAAAAAAAGTGATAAAAAAGGGGTAAAAGTGGCAAATACGTGTTTATAACACAAAGGCAAAAAGATGCAGTGATTAAGTACATACAGGAAGTAGGTCAGTTCATAGAAGGGAAATAAACTTCACCCACAGGGTGTTTTTTTTCCCCACATGATGTATCAATTGCAGAAGCTCCAAAAGAAAAGATGACTGCAGACAGAAAACACAGCCTTGGGTCCAATGTGTAAGGAAAAAAAAAAAAAAAAAAATCAAGATCTCAAAATAAAACTCTCTCTTATTTTATGTTTTAAAAACCTCCTGTGTGGTACACCTACACCTAAACCAGCATATTTGGAACCACTGATAAATGAGGCCATCTGTAACCAAGATTTAGTCAGCAGAAAATAATGAAAAAAGGAATACAGCAGATCTTCATCAAAGATACCTCTTTAAATGTCTGCCAGAAGTCTCAGTAATTTCACTCCGAGTGTCCTTTCTGAACAGACACCCCAGACACAAGTGTTGAAAGAATCTGGAGACCTCAATTACATGTGCTGCCACACATACCGATCAGATATATAAGTCCACATCTAGGAATTTAACTGATCCATAACTAAATTTGTTGAGGCTCTCTTACTTTAATTTCAACTTGCTCTTCCATTTCTTTTGTCTTTATTGTAGTGTATTCCTTTTCTAACCTAAAAATTAGAAACAGTAAATTATGATTAGAAATAGTGTGGATAAATTACTTGTTGGTATGATACCAAACAAACAAGAGTAGAACAGAGATACAGATTACTGATATTTCCTCTAAGTGGCCACTTGAAATGCACTCCTGTAAATATTCAGTCTGGACATTAGACTTAAAGACTGTAGGTATGAACAGATCCTGAATGGGCACTCTGAAGTGCAGGTGCTTCTCATACATTTATAGCGGCAATGACTTGGAGCTACTCTGTAAAAAACACGCAGTGTAACGATACAATAATCAATTCAATAGATTCTGCCAAAGAAAACAGCTTGGAAAGTACTGAAGACAAGAAGATGCCAAGATATTTGAGATAAGTATCTTAAACATGTAAAATAATTTTGGCCCCTCTCCAGCAAACTACAAAATTGTCCAAGCTGAAAAAGGTAGCAACAAGAAAAAATAAACTGAGGTCAACAATGCCTCTACAGAGGGCAACCAAGGAAGTTTAGTCTGGAATGGTAGGATCTTAAACTCTATACACTTCTATGGACTTTCAGAGAAAGTGTTTTTCCTGAAAGCTTTGTTACTAGTTCTGTTTTAGAGAAGACTGCTCACTCTACAGCACCGATCATAGGTCGCTGACAGAAGGACTGGCAAATTCAACTCAAAAGACCCCAGCACAATCTGCAGTGCAAGAACAGTAACTGTACAATAAATTACAACCAACTGGAGAATTGCCAAACTTAATCCTGGAAAAGCACAGTATGTGCAGCTTGTCTTATCAAAACGTAGTTTACCAAAGGCCGGAAAGAGAAGACATGCAACTAACCTTAAAAAATTAGTATTACCCCAAATGAAAGTTGTTTTACAATTATCAATCGTATTACAAAGTTTCATCTATTTATATTTTAAACAGCACGACCATACACATGCTCTTCAGCGCTGTGAATACTTTTTCAGTTCCTAAGAACACAAGTCTTAAGAATTTAGGCTAGATCTTAAAGTTTAACCTCCTTTCCCTACTTCATCTTCAAAAAAAAAAAAACCAACTCAAACCATCCTCACCCCAAAAAAACCACACTCACACACCCCCATGCCCCCGAGTTTTTTCTATTCATATCATACTCACAGAAGTGCTGTAACTTCCCATAACTTGCAGGTTTCTTAAAAAGCTTTTTAGGTTACTTTATAAATGTGATATAACTATTATATATAAGAAAAAAAGCAAATACTGCTTTAGAAGAATTTTCTTGCAGACAGAACTTATTATCTTATATTATCACACACCAAAAAATTTAAAGATGGCAAATTCAAAATGAAATAGTGAATAACTATTACATTACTGGTCAAGTTTAAATTGTTGTTTAAAGATAAACAGCAGTTCTTAGCAACAGTATAATCCATTTCTCAAAACGTTATACCTACTTTTTCATCTTTTTTGCATTGTATTTGACTTGGTAAGATGCTTGGATTAATTTGTCTGGACCGCTGTCAAACTGATGTGGAATGACCTTTTGAAAGTGCTAAAAGGAATCAGAGCACAAGATAACATAAAATTAATAGCTGGGAGGAAATATACACACACTCACATTACACATTTCAGACATCTCTAGCAATTGTTATAACTTTAATTTACCTGTAACATTCCTTCCATGTCAAGTTGCAGTAACTCTGCTTGATTCATCTGAAGTACTGCTAAACCTACTCGAAATACTATCTCTAAACCCTGAAAACAGAAGAAATATCCAGTAGTTATTCATGGCATCGTCAACAGTACAGAACAATTCTACTGTTCACTAATGTCACCAATCTCATCCAGTTTCTCAAACAAAAGGGTACAATGTAGTTAAACAGATAAAAGGGAATGTCTTGCCCATATACACTGTCTTGTACATTCTAAAGTGTAAGCGGAAAGGAGTCACCTTTGATTTAGTATTTTCTAAACGATGATTGCAGAGAAAAAGCATAAATGGACCATAAACTTCTGTTTGTTCCCAGTTACAACCACACAAAGCTCCATTGCTCAACACAACTTAGGTGACTGAATAATTCCATGAGTTTCTTCTGCTACTGTACATCATCTGGACAGTAACAGATAACAACGCTCCCTCACCTTGGCCTGTATAACCTCAAGGAACTTCAATTTGGCTTGAAAGCTGCATCACTTTCCATCCCAAAGTTTCTATAATGCTGAGAAACTGAGGTCCCCATTGGATGCAATGCTACTGCATCCAGAACTGACAGATATAGTAACTCTTCAACGGGCTTAGAGAAGAATTACATACAGTATCTACATTCAAAGACTTAGCTGCTCCTCCTTGACAGACTACATACACAGACATCTTCCCCTACAAAATAATCTGATAAGCATAAAAACTAAAAGCAGGACTATGTGAGATTTGCACACAATAGTGGGATTTATACCACTACCTAAAAAAAGTAGCTGTTTTAACAGCTACCCTTGAAATAGAGCATATGAGGATTGAGTAGTTACCTCAGACATAAAGATATCAAATACTCTTGTTGCAATTGGTAGTGGAAAAGTTGTAAGGAATATAGTTAAAAACCATGACGATGCATACATAGAAGTGTGGAAACTCTGAGACTGAAAATGCACATAAAGCTCTGGAAGATGCTCCTAGAAGAAAAAGAATATATGTTAAGCTTTTGCTGGGAGTTTTGTTGCGTCCATGGTTTTGAGAGATTTTGAATAATTGATATTTAGTATAGACAGCATCTTAGTAACAGAGGACTAGGAAAGACAGGACTCATCATTACCAAGAACTACACAGCTGAAGTCCCAACATTGAATACCCTGTAGCACTTCTACCCTGCAAAGCAGAGATTACAAAAACGCCTCCTGATCATAACAGGAAGTCACAGGCTTGTAAATCTGTAAATTACATCTAGAGTGGGCTACAGAGAAGAGCTGGAAAAATCTAGGATATGGCCAGAGACATGTGTTTTAACATCCCACCCTGAGCATCATGTTCAGAAACAAACCACAAACCTGGCCAGTAAGAAAGTGTTCTAAGTGCCAAGTCTGAACACAATTTTAATTCTATGTATGAGACTATCTCCCAGTTTGTATCTATAAAAATAGCTATAAATTGGCTCTGATGACACTTTCAGAATCTTCAATCCAAACGGAGTAAGACATTCATATGCTTAACTGTAGCAATACAAATACTCATGCTTGTGTTTAAAGCCAGTCACTGTCTCCCAATATTAAAAATGTAGACCACACAGCCATATGCCTTTACTCCTGAAATTCTGACACTAGCTACTGTCAGAACAGCCTGTTAGCCAGCAGACATGCCCACTGTTAACTGTGATTTCCAAGTTCCTTATTAAGAGTTACTGAAGAGAAAGTTTGATAGATTTTTGTATGTACCTGTATCATGCATTCAAACTGGTACATACAAAGGCCCAGTTCAGCCATGCTTGGTTTAAAGAGTTCTCGTAGTCGGTAATCTTGCATTAATTTAACAAACACACAGAATGCCTCTTCTTCTGGCATCTATAGTAAAAATGAAAAAAGCACAGTAACAACTCTAGACAAATGTAAGGATATATCAGAGTAAGTAAGGATATAGCAGAGTAAGCCTGGGAGGGTTTAAGGTGTTCTGGTTATTTTTGGGTTTGGGTGGTTTGATTTTTTTGGTTTGGGTTTGTTGTTTGGTTTTGGGAGAGCGGAGGTGGTGGTGGCTGGTTTGTTTAGGGTTTTTTTACTGTTGTTTGGGGAGGGAAGGAATGGGGTTTGGGTTTGATTGCATGTTTTTTTTAAAGGATTTATAACCAATTACTGTAATGAAGTTTTGTATATACTGAGTTCTACTGATTTTTAAAGTGAAGTGGAGGTATGCACATTTCTTATAATATACCTTACTTTGTCAAAAACAAAATGCAGTAATACAAAGGCAGCTTTAAGGTGATCAAATCAACTGTGAAGTTCCATTAGAACTCTGAGGAGATTCAGTGTAATAGAACTGAGAAGTTTGTTAACAGTTGAAACAGCATTCACCAAAATAGCTCTGAAGTCTGCAATCCTATCTTAGTCCTGAGAAATAAATGTATTCTCAAAGACAGTATCTTGGCAAATAGAACCACAGAGAATAAATCTCATGGGATTTGCAGAGTGAACAGCAGTCCCTGACACTTCTATTGTAACAGAATGATGAAGGAAAGCTGTTCTAGAAATTCCCAGTAAGCCACCATGTTTAATAATGCATTCTAGCAGGGATTTTAAAGGTTCACGTATTTTTAATATCGTGTTTACCTGCATAAGCAGTAATCCAACTATAAAGGCGCTTCCTTGACAGTATCCAACCTCGCGATCCACCAAAGAATAAGCCTGGGAAAGAAAGTTTAAAGACTCGCAACAATTTAAACCTCATTATGAATAAAATGTAATAGTAGTTCATGCTATTACTTTGCTAATAACTTACTTTTCCTCTCTTAAACCCAGTGAGGAGAGACATTCTATGCACAATATTTTAGTTAGATATTCTAATCACTACTTGCCTGTACAAAGGGGTATGAACTCTGCTCTCTGATAGCTACAATGCTAAAACTAAGGTATACCTAAAAAAAAAAAAATAATACATGCTTTTCTCAACTACAGGAATTTGCCAGAAGATAACAGACATGGCTGGCATACAAACTGCACAAGGTTACTACTTGAAGCAGGAGACAGACCAAAGAAACAACAGGTTTTATCAGAAAAATTATGTGCTGCAGTTTTATTTACAGGTAGAGGAAATGCAGTGATCTCCACGCATGTTTCATCTTCATTTAAAAGTTATGGAAGTTACTCTGATTTGGAAACCCGCTAACTTGTCTGTTGAAATGATGTTAAAGTCTCTCAAAATTTAAGCTTTAGTACAAGGAAGACAAAACAATGCAAACAATTTCACGGTGGCATTCTCATTTTGTGCTTAGGCACTGTAACAACTGCACATTAGCTTGCACCTGCCATTTGCTGCTACCACTTGCAGTTCAGAAACACTTGAAAACTGAATAACAGTTCTGATTTACAATGTTCTTGTCTTGGCCAACACTGTTTACTTAACAGTACACTTTATTCCATTATACTATCAGCAGTTAGAATGTGACTTGGTTTTAATGGAAGCTTAATAAGTTTAAGTCTCTTATAACGTAAAGCCATTAACTATAGAAGTAACATACTCAAAAGATAGCTTTCAATAGCTGGAATTGTAATTAGTGGAATGCAATTTGTTAAAAGCACTCCCAGTGTCAAGCAGAGCAAGTTTTAAAAAAAAAAAAAAATCTTAAGCACATGAAACTGATGCAAGTTCATGATACAGAAAGCAAATTCTTCCCCAACCTTTTGTGCGCATTTTTGCTAATGTATTTTAAAGGGCTGAAATACTGACTTACCTTCATGACATTGAACAAGACCTCCTGCCCAAGGCTGTCTTTTTCCTTAAAAAAATCATGTTCAGGGTATGTCCTAGCAATGTCCCTTCTTATTAGTTTCTCGCAAGGAGATGTCATTTTCAAGAGCTCTGAATACTGATCCTTAATTGGCATGCTTTGAGCACTGCATAAGAGTTGCCAAACGATTGCTCTGAAATGATGAGGTATCCCTTTTCGAACAAGCTCCTAAAGCACAAAAAAAAGTATACAAATCTATTTATATTTCCTGAAAATATAAGCATAAGCTTTAAGAACAAAGCACTTCAACAAAGTTACTCACATCTTCAGAAAATGTTTACATCATGTCACAAACCAATCACGCATTTTATAGTATGCAGTATAGTATGTATATATGCATAGTTTAGCACGATACGTTGTTAGCTAACAAAAGTAAGGAGACCCTGCATCATTTCAAGTGGCTAAATTAGCTAATGAAAGTAAGCCCCTAGTAGGCTACGTGAAAAACTGAATATTCACGTAAATTTAAATAAGAACTCCCATTAGCCATAATTTACTGCAGTTAATTTTATATTTCACAAAAGATGACTGAAGATAATACTCTTAATTATATTTATAGTGATTGAGAAATAAGAAATCTGTGACTAAAAATTATTTCCAAGATAGGTAAATGATAAGAGCTGGAACTACCTGTAGCACAGCCAACTGCAACAAAAGAACTGCATAGTACTACTGTCAGAATTCATTTGGCAAACTTGACAAGTTGTATCTAATTTCTCTGGTGTGCCAGTATTTGCAAGTTCTCCTTTAAGAAAGTATTTAAATGCAGTTTGAGACACTAGACCAAGAAAATATTAAGTTCACATGTACTGAAGTAACCCAATTTCCTTCATCTTCCCTGGAAAAGAAAAATCAGCTAGGTATTACACAATTCAGACCTTCCCAGTTTAAGAGATCTAAGAACCTGATACTTGTCTTTTCAGACAGCATAAGCACAAAGTAGCCTTGTTGCATGATCTGAAAACAAGAAAAAAGCATGATTCAGAAAGTTCACAGACCATCTTCAGGGTATGTTCTGCATCAAGGATCAGTCTGACCTTGAATACGGCCTCTTCCAGACAAGCTGGTTCCTTTAATAATTTTTTCTATCTTAAGAACTTATCTATTCTCTCTCCTAAAGGAGACTTTCTTTCACTAGTATTTAGTCTGAACAAAATCTCCTATCTGCAAAGCTTCCTCTTCGGCCTGTTTGTTCCAAGTATTTCTCCTACTTTGCCAAACATCAAGAATAATTAATGCAACAGTGGTAACTTTTAAAGATACTCTTGCTTTCAAGTTTATTTTTGTTAAGCTTGAACTCTACTGTAGGAGTTCTGCACCACTGACCTCAATTTTCTAATATCCCACAATCTCCAGCCGTCTTCAGACCATCCCAGTAAATGCCACTCCAACTATCTGTCTCGCCAATGACACAACTATGAAGTCCTGTGTTATTTCCTGAAGGATTTCTAAATCCAAGACAACCACCCTCACATGTTAGTCTTCCACATCTGTCTCTAGTTTTGTCAGCAATGCACTATCAATGCACCAACAATGTGGATCATCTAATAACTCAAGGGCTACCAGTAATGAAGCATTGGCAAGTGGTTTCTTGTTTTAAGTTACTGTGCAGCTACTTGACAGAGTAACAGTGTCAATCCCTTCAACATTCCTAAAGGAACAGCAGGAAAACACACCTGCTAAGCACCAATAAAGCAATGCTATTCTATATGCTATTATGCACACTGAAAAGCAGGACTTAAGTCATCCTTCAGAATCCCTCCATAAATAGGAAGCGAGTTCTGAAGTGGATCAAGAGGCATCAGGATGGAGCATGTCCCCTGTGCAAGAAGTTATATACACCTATGTCTAAAGCTTAAAAAACTTAACAGATACATAATACCTTAAGACCTGCTTTCACAGCCAAGACAAAAAGATACCTATGCTGCTAAAGTCATACCTACTGGCACAGTCAGGAAATAGATATGCATGTTCTGGTATTCCACTGTAAATGCAGAATGACACTGTTTAGGCTGACTTCTGACAAACAAAACAAAAACAAAGAAGATATTTAGAATTATTTAACCAGCAAAGGAAAAGCCACTAGCAATATACTTAAATATTCACTAGAAGTTAGTCAAATACTCCCCAAATATACTTGGCCAGCTGTAAAACCAAGTATAATCGTGAAACTTTAAGAAGTTCTAATGCAGGCAGCTCAAATGAATTCTTTCCAACCAGATATTACCATCTGACTTCTTTCTCTTGCCAGGCTCACATGGCCTCCTTCTCCTGGCATTTTGGGAACACCTTTCCAGAAACTTCTCCCTGGGCAAGCTAGAAGTCTTGAATTAATTTTTTCCATGTTTCCTCTCTCAAGTCATGTTCTCTCTTCACAACTGCTTCACATAAAAGATACTTTACTTCAGACCATTGTTCTGCCTTCCCACAACCTATTCATACGCACACATTTCAATCTGCTCAAAGGACCTTGAAATTTGTATTCTGCACATAGAACTACAGACTAGAGCCAATAAAGAACCAAAGCAGAACAGACTTGCCTACAAACAACAATCCCACGCTGCTGTACTTTGCAGCCTCTGTAACATGGGTATGTTCAAATTCCCTAGCTGCTTTTTAGTTTGAATTTAAAGTGTAACTGAACTCCATGGCTGTACATGCTCACAACTAACCCAGACTGGACACACACTGGTCAAAGTTTGTTCGTTCCACTCAGGATTTAGAAACTATGCGTTCTTATGCTTGAGGTCATCCCTGGGGTCAACGCACTTGGCATGCACAAAAAGCTTGAACTCAGAGCCTCATACAGTAGGATTGTCAGCTCTTCTAATGAGAATGCTTGAAAAAGACAGCTGCTCAGTGGGAAAACAATCACAGCATCCAGATGCCCTCAAGCGGGTTTTCAGTAATTCCATTTTGGAAGCTTGAAGCAAATCTTCCCTATATTCATAGGAACCTCTCATTAGAGGTAGACTGAAAGCTTTAGTATTCAAGATACAGTAAACAGTAGTTTTTAATAAAGACATTACCTGGGCAAAGCCATTACCAAAGTTCGGTAACAGTTACACAGGAAGCACTAAGGCTTAGGGATGGAACAAATTCAACTGGAAGCTCCTATTACATATTTATTTTAAAAGTAAGACCAACAGGAAGATAAAACAGTATCATCTGCATCACTTTACAATATAACCTAAAAAAGGCAAAAAAAAGCTGTCCAACTACTACCTTAACTTGCTTTTCTTTCTTTTTCCGTACATCTTCCCATTCATTCACAATCCTCCCCCAGAGGATCCATGAGTCTTCTTCAAGATGGCTGAGATTGCTAGAAGCTGATGAACTAGATACAAGAGAAGATCCACTATTTCTTCTTGACCCATTTACTGATCGCAAAGATTTGCTATCTGTTTCCAGGAGTCTGCAAAGAAAGCACAAAAAACCCCCACCCAAATAAATTCAAGTTCTTCTAATCACAGGACCACACTATTAATTGTTTAGAAGTCAAGTCTCCCAGACTCATTACAAAGAATGCTCCCAAAGTTTCCATGGAACAGTTTTTCTGACCTTCATTTATACTAAATTTGAAATGAACTGGTCAGTGTTACTGCTTCTTCTCGAGATCTCAAGTAATTCTGCAGACAGAAAAGCAGCTCATGTTGCAGCACTTAAGAATGTCGTATCTTGCATCAACAACACTAAAAGAAGTGAGATTTTAATACAAGTGTTATGTAGTCTCAGGCAACTAGATCTTAATACATGAAGATATAAAACTAGAGAAAGCACGGAAGCATTGAAAGTCCAGCTCTCTCTTACACATTCATCAATCAGTTATTAAAAGCCCAAAAGACAAGTACAAGTTTTGTTTTGAGGTGCAAGTACCAGCAAGAGGGCTGATTTTGCCAGCAACTAAACCCCTACAGCTATCGTGCATCAGACTGACAAAGAGAACATAATAGTTAAATATCCTCAATGATAGTTTCAAATTATATAATGGTTTGGGTTGGAAGGGACCTTAAAGATCATCTGGATCCAAATCCCCTGCCATGGGCCAGGACAAAAAAAATCCAGTATTTATTGGGAAAAAGTGAACAGAAGTCTTTCTAAGGAAAACTAAAATGTCAAAGCTCTGCAAGAAAGAGAGTAAAGAAGAGAAAAAAAAATAGCTTCCTGAAAGTCTACCTGATTACGCTTTTAATTGACAACGTAAACACAGACAGAAAAACTAAAACCTGAAATGATTTTAAAACACCTGACATTTGCTGACACTGTTCAGAACTCAACATGGTGTCTTACAAACAAAATCTCAGAGCTGAAGAATGAGGATCAGGCAACAAAAGCGGGTAGTACAGCATAATATAGTACAGTATAATAAAGTGCAGAGCTCAGACATAAGAACTTCCTAGGTTTCTCAGGCAGCAAGGTGTACATTAAGACATGCCAGGAGCTGGACAAGCTGCTGAAGGGACTTTTCTGTTAGCTGCTTGCCAAGGCCAGGGATTCTGGGCAAAAAGGTATGGTTTTTGTCCTCAACTAATAGTGAGCCCCATAAGCAGGGGGAAAGTTTTTAGATCGCATGTTTGGTAAGAGCAAGTGCTCAGACTGACTTGAGAAAGTGTTTGGCTATATTGAGCATTTAATTTGTGTTTAACTTCCAAGAATTCCTATGTCTGTAAATCAGAGTGATCTGGTTGAATATTTCTCAATGCACATGCAAAAAATCTAACCTCTCCCCCCCCCAGCATCTCAGCAAGGTCAGGTTAGGCTTTAGGTGCTTGAGTAATTATAACCCAAGTTAGATTTTACCCGAGACTGTACACAAATCTCAGCAGACATACCAATTTTTAAGCGCTCTGCTATGATTTAAACCAGCTTTCCCTGTTCCAAGCTTTTACCTACAGGTGTTCACGGAAATTATAGAAAAAATGCCATTTAATTCATGAAGACAGAAGTACAGTCTCTGCTCTATAAAAAGTAATATTTTGTTTGGAAAACAGTTAAATAGTAATGCCTTTGGGAAAAAAAAAAAACAAACTATTTTTTTCAAGACTAATTTTCACTTAGTGATTTCTGGAATGCAGAAAATCTTGTTTTCAGAAAAAAAAATCATTTTTAGTGTTTAGAAACCTGGCCTGTACTGATCCGTATTGAAAGACAGTGCCTAAAGATAAATTCAAAGTAGTCACAGAGGAAAAGCCAGCACAGAATAATCATTACACTTACAAAAACAAGGTTTATTTTTCACAGCTTTCTACTGTGAAACAGTAGAAAGTAACTTAATGTAACAGAAGTTACACTAAGTTTCTGTAATTTGACCTTACCTGGATAAACTCATTATCCTTAGATTTGAAAATAGGAAGTTCTTTCTACAGTAAGAAGCAAGTTCTGTGGCTTTTAGTCACTGTTTTCTTTCACTTAAAACTTTATAAATGATTTACTAATGCCAAACAGCTCTGCCAGGACTCTGGACTGAGCTATGGCATTACTCTGAGAAGACTTTCAGCACAACTGGGTTACAGAATGCCTTGTAAGACATAGCTTGATACAATTTGAGTTCTTTCCATTTCTAGCTGTTTAACTAATTCATGCTCTCCTTATTTACATAGAAGCCAGCAGTGAGAAAGAAACCTTTAAAGATATCTATCGCCAGCAATTCTTCCAACAGGCAAAAGAATAGCTCCCTGTGTTCAGAGGACAATTTCTTGGCAACAAAGTGCCACTGTGCTAAAATGCAGACTCAAACTGTTCTGAAAATACAGTGCATACAGCATGAGAGCATCAGATTTCAGTATTAAAGTGTAAAATCTCGTGAGAGAAGGTGCACTTGATAGGATAGCCTCTAATTAGAATTTGCACAAGACTAATGTGGGCTTGAACAACAGGTCTGGTTAAAATGAAATAAAACCAGACAAGATTTGCTAGCTTACTTACCAAATGAAGAAAGCTGACTTGAAAAAGAAAGCCTAGCAACCCCAAGATCACATTCTTCTTTAAACAAGCAAGCTAGTCTAACTGCAGGGCTTAATGAGATGGCTCTGGAAGTAAAGACATTACACTCCAACACAGATAAGCAGTCCAAAGAACAGGTATTACTACTTTTCAAATAAAAGTTAGTCACTTACTCGTGAACAGAATGGAATGCCTCAGCTCAAATGCAAATTAGCTTTCTTAAAAGCACTCTAACTTTTCTTCTTCTGATAAATTTTCATTTGCACACTGAAAATTGCATACAGTTCATCTTCAAAGGAGAGACAATCTCAAACCACAAGAAGAGGATGAGGTGTTTCTAGAAGCTGCCTTCCATTCTCAGTCAAGAACTAGACTGATACAACAAACTCCTTGTAAGTTGAATTGCTATTAGACTGCAGAACATGAACATAAGAGAAGATACGCCAGGTGACAGAATGGCATTAGCTCCTCCTCCTCCCAGTTACTCTTATCCTCTACTGAAAGTTACTGCTCTCATAACTGAATCAGCAGAGTTAAAAATGAAAAACCACCACAGAGTTCCTCAACTGCCTCAGTGCAAAGTCCAGCACACCAGGAGAAACAGAACACAAGATGGTTTGAGCTGAACTACCAAACTCTGCACTTCACTACAGCACAAGGGACAAATACTGCCAGGTTTAAAACCTATCTAGAGCTCAACTTCTCTGTGCAGCCAACCTCTTATGAATCACTGAAACACACTTGTCAAACAGAACCGAATTTTGCAAGAGGCCAGATGACTTTAAAGTCTTGCCTCAAAAGTGGAAGCAAGTGTGGGTTCTGGGAATGCAACATTAAGAAATCATACAGTCCAATTTTATTTCTTAGTGAGACAGACAACTTGCAATCACTGTGCACATCAAGATCAACTGATCCAACTGAAAGTTGCATCTTGAGCTGTAGAAGGTGCAGATAAATATTGCCTTATGGAAAGGCTGCCAAGAAAATGGTTCCTTACTATGCTAAATAAAATAAACCAGGATCAACAGACAGAACTGATCAAGAATTTGCTTGTCATGAAATTAAGGCATCATGCATTTATCACCTTTAGTGGAACAGCAGGAAGATGACTGGACACTGCTCTGTGTCTAAACATAGCAGGTCATACAGTGAAAAGCAAGAACTGGGTAAAAATGGAAAAAGAGAAAATGGAATTCAGAAATCTAAGATTTCAAAAAGCTCACAGAAATAATATTTTTGGTCTCAGAAGGCAGGGAGGTTATATTAAAATCTCATCCCTGAAACGCTCCATTTTAAATTGGATACTAAAAATCATATGTTTCCAGTGCAATTTCTTCAGATTAGAGGCAGCTATAAACATCCCTGTAAAACCAGGAGAGAAAAACACCTTTCAGAGTACCACAAAGACAGAACTACTGCACAAGAACACAAGTTCTTAAACCTCACAGCCTTGACATTGCAATGTTGTGCCATGAAGCTTTACCAACTAGCCCCCTTTTAACAGTCTCTCTGCTGAAACTGCAATAAGCCAGTTTTAGTCCCATTATGGTTCTTGGAAGATCAAAAAGGTTTTCATTTACCTGTTCTGTTCCTCAAGTTTAGCCAGTAATTCTAAGTCATCTGGACTCAGCTGTGTTGGTGAGGATGGTGATAGCACGGGTGTAGACAGAGTGGTAGAGGAGGATGTAGTGTGTAATGAGGCAGATGGACTTGCCACCTGACTGGCCATTTGACTGACGGTGTGCGAGACAGTGTTCTTCACCCATGAGAGAGTAGAGCTCAGTTTTCCTGCAACCTTGTCTGTCGCCACCTGCCATGACAAAAAGAAGAGAATGCAACAGTTGTCTTTAATACCTTTATTTTCAGTAAACCTGCTGCCCTGAAAAAGGGAAAAGAAAATATACAGTATGCATGAAGGGACATTGAGACTATGTATTTCTCCAGAACTGTCAGGCTGTTAGAAGCAACACAAGCATCAACAGCAATACAATATCATAGACGTAACATGCAAGTGTGCTGCTAACCCACCAAAGAAAGTATACTCACAGAGCTCATTTCTGCAGTACAGAAACACTGCAGGATCCAGGATCAGCTCAGACTTCCCATTAGAAAAATAAACAGAAACAAAAGCTTGTTTTAAAACATCTTGATAAACTAATAATGACACAGAAACCATTGAAAAACAGGTACAGAAATAGTCAACTACTTCCTTGATGGGCACTGGAGCACTTCACAAACACTTCAGGCCACCCACGGTTCACCTTCAGTTAATCCCTACAGTGGCAGGACAGATAAGCAGGGGCACCGCATTTCTAATCTACACCAAAGCACAAGATCCTCTAGCCAGTGAGCAGGAAAGTCGCCCAAGAATCTACATCCATGAATCTACAACAGTTACTGAACGTCTTACATTAAGGTCTCTCACTGCCAGCTCCCTTTTCTTCCTCACTTTACCTCCAGGTCACCCTTACACCAAGCATCTTTGTCCCCTGCTCCCACTGCTAGCACATGGCCAAGCCTGCCGTTTGAGAAGATTCAGGAGGAAGAGTGAGAGGTGTTACTAGAGCATAAGGGAGCTCCAAGCAGGCAGTCAGGGAAACCTCAGGTCCAGGAATGAGGAGGTGAATGGGGACTGATCATAATCTGCTGCCACTTCTTGACCAGTGTTACAGGACAGTGCAGCCCTAACAGATTGACTGATCACTAGAGAAGAAAGAGCAGCAGCCCTGGAGGTATTTTCTAATCAACCCCTCATGAGAGCTTCCTACCTCAACTGAAAACATAAGAGAATCCTGCTATGATCTACAGTGATTCAGAGCTCAATTTTTCCATGGCCCAACTTAGAGAAACTCCAGATGCACCTTAAAGGAAAAGCCAGCTGCCTAGCAAAATGTTAAACTTTTCATAACCAATTCTGAAGAGCCGAAGTTGTGCTGCTGGCGACTATTTATTCTGACCTTTGCTGACTTCCTCAATACACTGAATTGCTCAACAGTTGTCACAAACAGCTCTGCAGTACAGCCAGTACAGTAATTGCTAAGATACTAAAGACACTGAGCTACAGGAAAAAATCCTTTCCCAAGACCCCTTAGTAGAATCTAATTAAAGCAGAATTTCAACTGAATAAAAGTAACTCCATCTCAACACACTGCACATATACCTGAAGCACAGCATATAGACTGACTGGTTGCTAAAGCAGCAGCTGCTTGACACAACGCTACCATTAACGTTTTTGTGAATCAAATCCTGCAGTATTTTATTTTCATGTCATATTGAAAGGAAGACACTTTGAACACCTTAAGCGTTCAGAGTTTTCTTCCTAACAAAAGGAACACTACAGACCAACAGAGATCATCGATCTCCCCACTTCTTCTCCACCAGCAATAACTTAAGAGCTCTCCTAGAGGACTGTGAAGAGGTTTCCAGTTTCCACATGCTTAACATTCATCCTGAAAGCAGTAATAACATTTTGCCAGAAATCGTCAGCTGCAGGGATACACACCACAGGTAAGGTCCCAAGTGGTCCTTTCATCACTGTTAGACAGGAAGCTTGGGTATATCAATGTTTAACAAAAAGAGATCTCAAACCATCACAACCTTTTGAAGATACTCTGAAAAATCCCTTCCAATACTATCATTTGTCACCATCTTTTATACAAGAACAGAGTAAAAACTGCTACAGGTTTCAAAACCTTAAGCTTAATACACGTATTAATATTTCACTCAGTCAATATCCTTTACCATCTACTACTATGAAAGGATAAATTATTGCTGTTTCCCTTTGAATTACGATAAAGGTAACTCATACATCTCACTTAAGACTGATTATTTCCTTAAAGGCTTTAAACTGCTGAAAATATGGTAAGTGATGCAACTATTCCGAAAATAAATGCTGGCAGAAACAGGCCCAATCTTAACAACACAGCAGAAATGACTGCCATATGAGCAGGTTTTAGGACTCACCATTCTAAGAATTTTACATGGAAATATTAGAAAAGCAGTGATTTTGACTAATACCCTGTGTGACAGAAACAGAAAGTATGCAACAGGTTTTATCTCTTTACAAAGTAAAGTAACTAGGAAGACTTAATGTGAAAAAGTAAAGCCAAGGTGAGTCTGGCTTATTTGTTATGAAGCTCATACTCCACATTAGGGTACTTGAAGCAGGGGATGGGGTGAGGGGCAGAAATCCAGAATCTTGCCAACATTCATTCATCACTATGCATTAAAACACACTAACATGAACATTTGTAGAAACCAATTATGTTAAGAACACTATGAAAAAGCATGGCCAAAACAACCCCCATGCAAGACATCGGTTAAATCAGAACAATGCGCCTAACAGCACTACTGTTTCTAAAAGCAGCTCCAAGTTTCATTACAATGTATTCAGAGAACTAGTAAAGTTTTCTGAAAAAGAGAAAAGTCAGAACTATCAAGTTGTTGAAATTATGCCTTCTGCCTTTAATTATGCCAATGAGAATCATGGCAGCATGAATGCCAGCAGATCCTGTCACTGGGTATCACCAGCTCCAGGAAACAGGAAAATCTGTATGAGCCTTTAGTTTAATGCCTCCTCTCTTCAGGGATGTGATTTTGCTTAACACAGCATTCTGCAAAGACTCCAGAAAGCCACTACCATTAAACCTTTAATCTCTTCTTTGTATTTTTTGACAGAGTGTCCTCAAGGCTTTCCTAAACAAATACTTCTTTTAAAAACTGGTTATTTTTTAACCAGTGATACTTCTTCAAGCCTGCAGCAGTGTCTCCCTTTTGGCAACCCCCATACAGCAACAATGCTCTGCACTTAGTTACGAAGTGTTCTTCCCTTTGCTACTCTACGTTAAGGGGGAAATCATAGTCCTGTGCTCAGCTGATAGTACAGTAACAAGGACAGCCAGATGACAGATATTCCACAGTGGCTGTCCCAACACCTTAGCTAGGTCACTGCCATAAATCCAACTACACGAGATAAGACTTCCGCTTTTGCCATCATCCTCTCACAAAGCATATGAACCTCTGCTACTTCCACTCTGCTCTGCCTTCTCTCACCCTGAAGCACTTGCGCACTTGCTCTATGTGGAGCCTTCCTGTGCTGCACCACGGCAGTAGCTCAAGCCCAGACTGCTCCCCAAGCCCCAACACCTACCAAATCTAAGCAAGCTCTCCATCCCTGCATCTAACCATCTCAGGCTGGAAACCCTCAGTTAATGGTGTCTTTTGCTAAGCTCACCTGAGCCAGCTTTTCGATAGTGCAAAGAGAATTGGTCTCCTGATTATCACAGCATTTTTCAGATGCTGAAATTCAAGTTACATTTGAAGAGTATAAAAGATAACCTACATTGCCTGGGAAGCATGCCAAATCATCGAGAGCACCATCAGGACAATCAAGCCATTATTTATTTTTACTAATGTGTGATCAAAACCAGAGCTGACTCATTTTTAAGTATTGCTTTTTCCACAGAGGGGTCTTACTCCAAAACCTGCTGATCAATCAGACTCCCAACACAAATGCTGCTCCCAGCTCACTACCACGGACACCACCAAAGATGTCCAGGTCTGGAGAGAAGCAGGCAGGGATACATTGCCTCCACCCTGTGCAGTAGGACACAGGGAGCTGAGGAAGCACCATGCAGCTCCAAACCAGGTACGCTCACTGTGGCACCAAGCCACACCAACTGCACTGCTCCTGGATTGCCAGCAGAGTTCAGTCACATCTGCCTGCCTAATATCATGTAGATACCTCCCAAATAAGTGTGTGAATGTTGCGTTTGAAAATACTGATCTGTAAGATGATGAGGGGGTAAACCTTAACTGCTAAAGACTTTCTATTCTGGGGCAGCTTCCAGCCAGCAAGCCAGCAGAACTACCAGCAATTCTTACCCATCTGGTCAGTCATCAGGCAAGGCACAGACCTGCCTGCTGCATATTTTAATCTACTGAAAAGAAAATTAATGATCATATTGACATTACACATACATACAATGTGCAGTTTATATATGCCAATATTCATTTAAAATATATAAAATTCAGTATCTCAACATGCATTTAATATCTTTAATTAGCTACTGATCACAGCACTTTATCACACAATACTGTGTTTCTTCAGTTACTCAGAGGAGTACTGCAGTGGAACAGCACTGGAAATATTTTAAGTAAGGCAAACTGAAGGTAGACTGCAGCATCCCATATTATAGACAATGATATAAATCCCTTTCTCTGAGAATCCCAAGATAGCACTTTACAGTAAACCCAAAAATGTTACCACCACATATTTTTGCACTTGCCAAACAGAAAATACTTGGTTTTCCATAAAAGTCTATTTAGATTTGTTTAAAAAAAAAGGTATTTCACTATAAACATTGAATTAGCTTAATACTCATATTCTTCATTTTTCTAAGGAAAATCTGTATTCAAGTTACAGGTATCCTGATTACCCAAAATACTGTCTCATTTCATGACGAAGTAAAATAACTACAAGCCTTACACAAACACTACTGCATGTATGTTCTCTAATCTTTCTTCTCTTCCTGAAAAGAGAAAGAAATGGGAACTTCCAGAATATAGGAAGCAACCATCATACTATTCTACATATGAAAAGAAGCCTCACATCATTGGGGCTGAAACTCTGTATGTGGTTTTCAAGCCAGTTATAGAGCATTCCTTAGACATGGTTTCCTGCTTGCTTCAAAAACAGTTAATGGCATTCTAATACCTGAAGAATAAATGAAACTGACTCAGTAAGTGACATATGCAGGAGAGGCAGCTGGTGAATCAGCCTGTTATCATACTTCCTGAAAAGCTCGAAATCCTGATTTAGGGCTCAAATATCATTCCACTATAAGCTTCTTTTATACCTTTAATGCTACAAATTCACACCCCTGATTTTTGCTGAAGTCTGGGGGAAAAAGTCTTGATTTACCCTCATATTCCTGATTTTTCTTGTAATATCACCTGACAATGGTCCGGAATACCATGGCTAGCACTCACCAGCTTCTATTTCACTGGACATTCACAAGCTCTCTTTCTGATACAAAGCACAAAGCAGTCTAACATTGTATATTCTGTAAATCTTAAACTACCACAAAGCTTTCTGTAGTATTATTTAATAAATACACATCCTTTAAGTCATCTTCAGACTCTAACATGTTACGGTTTTGATGGTCCCAAAACATGTCAAAGAAGAAACTTAAAGGTTTAAGTTCACATATGCAACATAATAATCTAATACAAAAGGCATTTTAAGGAGATACTTCACTGAAGTGTTGTACTGATCCACTAAAGGTTGAAACCATTGGTCAAAGTCATGAGAATAACATTCCAATCACTGACCAAGTTGCACTGAATCATATTTATTTCCAAGAAAACCTCCAGGTTTTGAGTTGCCTCTGAAGCCCAGTGTGGTCTGCAATCTGTCAAGCACTGTCCCAGTATGCTAACTGGGAAGACAAACCACAGTGCTTCTGCAGACACTACCTCCTGTCCATCTAAAGATGGTTTCTTTTATCAAACAAGTTTCAAATCTGACACAGGAATGTAGCAACCTTCAGGAAACCAGAAAGATCTCCTTTCAGTGAAAGAAGAATTGGATACAGTGCTTTTGTACAAAAGACGGCTGAGAGCTCCTCAGAGCCGCAAGAGAAAATGCTGACAGACTACAGCAAAAACCTTAACAGCCTTTGTTCCTTTGTTATCTTAGACCTCGGTTTGGAAAATATATTTGTATTTGAGGTTCAGCATACCAAGTTACATGCATATATACTTGAAGGACCACCCCCTTAGCTAACAAAACACAGGGAGGAAGCAGATTAACCAGCTAAAATAAAGAAAAACTGCAAAATCGGTTTGGTTTTGAAGTAGATTGGAAGAATTCTCTTTCGTTTCAATAAAATGCTATCCAATCATTTAACTGTAATTCAAGTAAGAATCATCAGGCACTTATAAAAACATAACACATGCTGAAGGACACATATGTTGATCATTAAAGCTCCTTTCTACAGATTTTGCTTGCTTTCTTGTTCCCCGAAGCCTAGCTCCCTTAATGCTGCTTTTAGCCAACTTCCTCCTGGAAAAGAGCCAGGACTATCATCTAAACTACATCAGAGCAAAAGCAAACAAAAGTATACAAATGCAGTTAAATTTACTAAAGGCCTAAAGTCCATATTTTGGAGGTGAGAAACAACTTATATTTTTAAATATTCACTAAGCTCTAATTAAAACCAATGTTTTTAACACAACTCTTAATTAAAAAAAAAGTATACAATATTTGCAAGGAGTGAAATCAGTAAGTTGAAAAGGATCCAATATCAGCCAACATGAAAATACCATTCCATGCAACCTCTGGTTTTATGTACCAGCAGCCCAAGTATTTTGCAGGTGTCATTCTCCTTGTTTATAGGGATTAGATAAATTTATGCCACAATCTACAGGCTAGAGCCAAAATGCTCACCTCCCATTTACCAAGGTGTGCATATGTCCACCTCCAAAGGGATGTATTAAACGAGACTTGATGGAGAAGCCAAATAACACAAACATGGTCTTACGGAGTATGGTGACACTTGATTTATTACTTACTAGAATTTTAAACAAATCAGGCAACAGTGGTTAGTGAGACCCTACCCTCAGTACCTTACTCTCCTTTAAATGATCAGCTAAAGGGTCAACTTTCTATTGGTTACACACAAATTCAAAAGAGTAAACTAGTTTCTAAATGACTGACTGATAACCAGCTTTACTTGGGGGCTATAAACTCATTGCAACCTGCAGCCACTGACAGCAAGAAATAAAAGGTCCAAGTTTCAGAAGTGAGAAGTGTAACCAACTTAGTAATTTCCACATGGGAAAGTTATCTGAGCTATTTAATAAATATAGTTGATTTAAACCCAAGTGCAGACATCAACAGTCAATTCTGTTGACAAAATCCATGCCAACACCTGTGGTCTTGCAGTAATAATTAATTTCGCCCACCAATTGTCTTGGTATACCCACGACTTGTCTTCACAAGCACTTACAGTGTAACTTGAGGCAAGCATATTTTTTCTGCTAAAAGCGTCTTCCTCTATTCTACTGGAGGTTGTAAGAGTGCTCCCGCAGCCTTTCCTGAGCCCAGCACTTAGAGGAAACTAATTTTCCTTAGTTATTGCATAAAGAAAAGGGAGATGGGTCTTCAGAGAGATGACATACCTACTCATCATCAAATGAAATCAGTTATTTTCCAATTAGTTGACCACTGACTTTTACATTTTCATTTGGAAATAAGAATATTTACTTCTTTCAAAAAGGCTTACTAGTGGGAAATGCAAGGAAGATCAATGACATACTGATTATTTTTAGTGTCAGTCTCACACTAAGAAGACTATGTAAAAATCCCAAATCTGTTCTATCGTGGTCTTATGGAATTTTAACTTACCTTTGCCATTCTGTCTTTAAAAAGACTGATCAAATTCTTTTTCCAAAGGGATGAGAAATATCTACTAAAGCTTCAGCCAAACCCATGAAGTTCCACCACTAATGCACTCAAAGGGAGAGGAAAAAAATTATTTTGCTTAATGAATATTGGGGTATATCCCTGCTATTTCAGACAGCATGGAAGCTGAAATGCCTTTTTACTATGCCTGAAAGTAATTCACTGTTAATGTACATAATCAAGACGAACACCTGAAAAATGAGAGTTTTAAAACTAACTTCCTCTGTACAATGTCACCCTAGAGAGCAATGTGGACAGTTCATGTCCAGAATGTTAGGGTTTGGCTACCTACTGGTATTTAACACCCATTTTAAGTGACACTCAGTAGTTTCACCCTTCAGTAAACTCTTCTAACATCCTGTCAGTTTGCAGTACACAGTCAACTGGTGGCAACAACAATCCCCTATTAAAGGGCTGGCCCCATCTGCCAGGCTGATGAAACCAAAGGAAAAAATGCATAGTTAATAGAGCCTAAGATGAGGATGAGTCAGAATTCTGTATCACCATAATGCAATTATACTCTTTTAATTTAAAAAAGGATCAAAACCATGCTATGGTGTCATTATACAGGTATTTAATGCTATGCTAAGAATCTAAGACTTAGTCATGACAACACGGTGTAGGAAAACTCAGAAGCTTGAGAAGTTCGACAGCTTACCACATAGCAGAATGCATTATAATAACCTATTACCAAAACATTAATGGTTCATTTCTTTGTTAATTTTAAGGATTAGACTGGAAGTAAAACCAACATAAATCAGACAAGATGATGCAGCCTGAAATAACATGAAGACCGAAGCATGATCCCTGACAGCAGGACCAGAAGGAGATCCCATCCTTCATTGCCTGAATCCTATAGCTGGCTCCACGCTCCCCAGGCTCTGTCAAAACACCATCTCACTCCAGAGTTCACAGGAAGACAAACAATGTTAGAGTAAGTAAGAAAAAGCTATGATTCACTAAATCATTTCTGCTGTTACCTTTTGAGAATACAGTTTCCGCATACATGCATACAACACAAACACATCTCAACTGCGTGTAAGATGAACACAGCAAGACAAAAGCCTCTGCACTGTTACTAACCACCACCCCTTTATTCCAGTCACCCTTGCTGGGGAAGGAAAAGATGCACTGCAACTACAGACATCTAAGCAGACACGGCTACAATGAAAGCACAGTATTCCCCATTTACAGGAATACAAAATTTACCAAGAGATAATGTTGTTATGAACATGAAAGACACAAGGCACACCAGCTACAAGCTTAAGTGACATATTCAAGAGAATATACCTAACAACTCCTAATTGGGTAGTCTTACAACAGGCAATATTTGTCTTTTTTTTTAAATGGTAACTATTTTAATCAGGTCTGGGAAAAAAGTGAATTCAGAGTATATAATCAAAGCAGGTACAGGCTCTTTGAGGGGAAAAAAAAAGCATTCACAGTCCAGATTTATTTTATTACTCTTCTTCTAACTAACAGAAAAGATTTTTCTTTTGAAGGATGTACTTGACATGTATGAAATTTTACTATGCCAATTCCTTAAGCATTACAAACAATTTTTTTTCTACAAGTGAAGAAAACTAACCAGGAAGAGTAAGAGAATGTCAACATAATACTCGATATGCATACGCCCAACTTGGCTGTTTCCCCCTTCTGCATCGTGATATCAGAACCCTGAATTAGCAAAGTAAACAACTTTGTTTTCCGAACACTTGACTGACAAAAGGACTTGTCTTCCAATTTTTATTACTTCTCCATTTATATCAATCCTACCCAAAGAACAACCTGACAGTAACACAGTTCAGGCACGTCCTTTCATCCACCCCTACTTGGAATTTGGAAAAGCTTTTTTCCTATCTCTTCCTTTTCATGAACACCATTTCAACCATTCTCATCTCCAGCCATCTCCTGCTTACTTGTTCAAATGCAATCAAACAAGCCCATGGAAAACAAGCTTATGAGGAACAGCAAGGAAAAAGTAAAATCAATTCAAGGCACCCAGCTGTAGCTCAGGAAGAGCCTAAGCCTCAGCCCACGGGAGGTCAGGAGATACAGAGAGAAGTCGGGTTGTTCTGGTGAAGCTTTCTTCTCCCAACATCTACTCCTCTCAGTGCTAATTCCTGCAGCTGTTCTGAGCCCAGTTCATTGAATTCAGGCAATGCTGATTCATAACACCAACTGCTTTCCTCCTCATCATGTCCCTCTTTTTCACTGCCCATCTCTATTTCTTCTCCTAATCCTTACTTGAAAAAGAATTCAGACCTATATATTTCAAAATAAGTCTTAAATTCTTATAGGTGTAAATAGGCAGACGTGCAATCATGATCAGAGCAGAAACAACACACTGAGAGAAGGGAAGAGAAACAAACAGGCACATTTATGCAAAATGCTTTTCATTACTATCTACCAGAACAAAAAAAAATAACAAAAACCAAGATCCAGTTAGTTTTTCCTTTAGAAACATGAAATAATGTGAATTTTTAAAATTGTAGAAAAAAGGTTTTAGAGAAATACTTTTGGAGAAAAGTAAAACATACTGAATACTGTCACTTCTCTATACAAACCTACCTCTTTTCTATACCTTTTGTACGTGATCTTTGAACCAAAAAGAACTCATTGTAGGCTGATATGAGTTTGCTTTGATACAGCCAGTGTTAATGCAAGCTCATGCTAGAAATTCAAAACAGTATATGCCAATTTCATGGTTGCTGTATAAATGCGCTGCTTAGCAGTGCTGGAAATGAGCAAGATTTAGATGGAACTACAGAAAAACCACACCAAGAGTTCGAGCTGGAACACATAACAAGCAGCCACAACATCAGTATCGACTTTTTACCCTCATTATATAATCTCCCTCACGCAGCTGCAGCAGGAGGTGCTAGGAATGAGACCTTGAAGCTGCGCTGGTAAACTGTATTTCTGCTCGGAACCGAAGAGCTGCTGGTCCCCGCTTTAACGTTACTTCCACATCACCGAGGCAGAGCCCCCCCCGCTGCAGGCAGACAGGCCCGACGGAACAGCCCCCCTCGCCGCCACCCGCGCCCGGCTCCACACAGAGGAGCTGCCAAAGACCCCTTCGCGTTCCCGCGGCGGCTGAGCCGCGCCCGTGCCGCGGAGGAGCAGAGGAGCGCGGAAGGACAGGGGCAGGCCAGAGCCGCGCACCGCGGCCTCCCGTCACCGCCACCCTGCGGGTCCGAGGGTCTTCCCCCGCCCGCCGCTCCACCGCGATACCAGGGCTCCGGCCCTTCAGAGCCGCCGGTGCCCGCGGGAAGGTGACGCCCCGCCGCTGCCCGGCCCAACGGCAGGGAACGCTGGGGCCGGGGTCGCCGCGCCCCGCCTAGGCCCGGCCGCTGCACTGCCCGCAGACCCTCACAGCGGGGGAGAGCGTGGGCCCAGCCGCGCCTCACCTTGGAAGCGTTGCCCGCGGCGGCTCGGTGCGAGCATCGGCGTGTTCCGCCGCCGGCCCCGCGGAGCTGCGCCCTGCCCCCGGCCGCTCGGCCCCGGCAGCCGGGACACGTCCCGCACCGGCGCAGGCGCACACAGAGCGCAGCCGCCGCCGCCGTTGCTGCCGCGAGGGGCAGCTCCGCGCCCCCACCGCCGTGGCTCGGCTGCAGCGGAGGGCAAAACCTATCGGAACCTCCATCTAACGAAAGCTTAATTGGAATCGTTAATTACAACGCTACCTCAGCATACACGGGCTGCTTCACAGCCCAGGACGCAAAGAATACACTCCTAAAAGCCAAGTAAGAAGAAACAACAAGTTACAGCCAGGCCTCCAGCATAGCTATCTTTGCCTCAATAAGGCAATTGGTGTTGCAGGTAACAGCAAAAGAAGTGCAATTGCTGCAAGACAGCAGCCCTGCGCAGGCACAGGGAGATGCTCTTCTCACAGGAGATACTGCTGAAGTGCCAGTTTCATCCCTCTAAGTGACTTCTTCCATATGCAAGACCGTGCTCTAGAAGACGTGGTACCTTGCTCTCCACATTGTATCCGAGTAAAAACACCACATGCAATACAACAGAAATTGAGAAATAGCAGAAAAAGATGTAAATACACGCTTTTTCCTATTGATAAATGTCACTAGTAATAAACACTTCACTAATGCATTGAAAACACCAGCTCCGCAACCAAGCTACCTTCACAAGCTCAGAGCCTATACACACAGCAGACACTCTTCTAACAGATGTAGCTACAGAAAGTGGGATCTGCCCCAAATTTGTAAGCTCAGGGGTGGGGCTGACCAGCCCAGCTGGAGTCCTCATCACACAGGAAGGTGTGATGGGTGGGTAGCAGCCCAGTGTTGTGATGAGAACCATTGCAGGAGCAAAAAGTCTCCTTACAGAGAAAAGGACAAGGAACTGACTTTATTTTTTCTAGCTCAGCGCCAAGACTAATGGAGTTTTGCTTATGACACCGCTGACTCCCATGCTGCATCTTAAGGACTTCGTATCTGGAGTTAGTAGGTAGGAACCATATTGGTATTTGCCTGAGGTAGGAAACATGTATTATTTCTTTCATCCTCATGTAGTTATTTTTATCAAATTAATACCGTTTAAAATATTGATCTACGTATAACAATTAGCATAGGTTTGGTTCAGTTTTTTTTTTTGTGAAGGGAATGCAGATAACCAAATGCATCAGGAGCAAAGGTGCTGCTTTGTGCACTTCTCTGGCAACGTCAAGAAATTTGGTGCTATTTGACCTGTTTGTCTCAGTGTATGGATATATATATCTTTGGTTTAATTCATCAAACATCAATTATCCCAAATAACTATAATTTATCTTAGGAACAGCGTTTGATTGGGTTTTGGTTAGTTTAATGTTTGAAGTATTTACTGTTCAATCAACCGCGAAGATTTTCCCTAGAAAATGAAGGGAATTAAACCCCTACGTTTCCATAATTGGCTGTTTTAAGATCACATCTATCAATGTTTTTGTTGTAAGAATTCCTCTGCTGTGATAATAGCAAAGGAGTTTGTCTTGCTACCTCCTGCTTCTGCAAGTAACGAAAAAGCACTTAGGAGCCATGACAGGGGACAGCAGTGTTATTTTTCCCTGGAAATACTTCTCTGCCCGCTCAGGGAAGCTGCAGGCAGAAGCAAGGACAGGGTCGACACCGGATCCCGCCGTGCAGCCGCTCCTCCAGGCCGGCAGGGGTCAGCAAGGCCGGGGCAGGCTCTGGAGGCGTGGCTGCGCGTCGCCGGGCTGGCGAGAAGCTGCGGCTGCGCAGTGGGAACGGCCTTTTCCCCCCTGCTGCGGAGCGCAGTCGTTGTGCGGAGCAGGCTCCGGTCTAGGCCTAGACCGGACAGTACCTGGCACGATGGTCAGTACCGGCCCCGCGGGACGCCCGCGCCGCGAGGGTGTTCTGCCCGCCGCGCTGCGGCTGCTGCGCTCCGCTGCCCGCGCGGATGGAGACGGATTGGCTCAGGCCCGACGCCGGCTGCGGCTGCTCCAGCGTGGCGATGGCTGCCATTAGCGCTGGGGCTGCGGCTCAGCACGATTCCCGCACCGCCCCGTTACCGTCCGCGCTGCTGCGCTGAGGCGGAGGCAGACCGGGTCAGGCCCGGCCTGGCCCGTGGGTGCGTGGCGGTGCGGCCCGGTTTGACGGAGCCCTGCGGCAGCCGGCTGGAGGCTTGGGGTCTGTGGCCGCTATCTTCCCGCGGGTCAGCGGGGCTGAAGTGTGCGGAAGCGCGGGTCCCGTCGCGGTGCTGGCCGAGCGTGCCTTCGCGGGGCCGTCGGAGGAGCGAGCTCCGAGGCCCTGGGGGACTGGCTGGGAGCGACACGGTTACTGCTTCAGGCCATGCAGGCAGACGTTCTGCTAACAAGTCTTTTCTGGTGTTTCTCCTGAAACCATGAATTTCACAGGAGAAATGTGTATTAGTTCCTGTGGGAAGGATCAAGCTTCCGGGGCTTAGTGTGGCTTCCTCCCTCCCCCCCCCTATTTTTGTGATGCTTTTCATTTAAATGCATAAGTAAATCCGGTGTATTTCTAATTCCACCACGGTTTTACTTATAGGACATACAGTTAGAATGGCTTTGGCTTGCGTGATTCTATGTTAATAACATCCAGTTGTGTTTCTTACTCAAGGGGTTTGTGAAAGTTGTCAAGAATAAGGCATACTTCAAGAGATACCAAGTGAAATTCAGGAGAAGGAGAGGTATGTTTAAATTCCCTGTGATGTATAGTTAAATGCCACTGATGAATACTCCTATTTCATTCACATATTTTTCACACTGTAACTGTTGTATTTCAGAGGGAAAAACTGATTACTATGCCCGTAAGCGTTTGGTAATTCAAGATAAAAACAAGTACAACACCCCTAAATATAGGATGATTGTGCGTGTTACCAACAGAGACATCATTTGCCAGGTAAGGTCTGTGGTGCTGTTGCTTCCTTACCAGCCTTCCCAGTGTGAAGCAAACAGCAAGGGTGGACTGGCTGAAGCAGATGAGGTTTTTAAGCTTGATCTGAGCAGCTTTTATGATGTAAAATGTTTTCTTAGAAGAAAGAAATTTTTAATGTTGCTGCAACTTCAGTAATAAAACGTATTCATAATGCAAAACAAATGTTGGTAGTGTCAGCCTCCTTCAGCCAGGTTATTTGTAATACAAAACTGTGCTGGTTTGATGATGCTGAGGTAAGTAAAGACGTTGGGAAGGGGGAGGATTTCTCTGTTCCGTCTCTGCTTTATTTAAAGTGCTTGAAAAAGGGAGTCATATTTGAAGGCAGCAGGGTTGACTGACCTGTCAACCTGCATTGACAGTTGCACTGTATCTAAAGGTGCCTTTTCTTCTGAGGGTTTTTTTTCCTGTGATGGCATGTATATGATGTGAAGCAGCGAGGCTATATGATGCCCTTCCTGTGAGACTAAAGGAGTTTGGTAGGTAAGAACAGTAGGCATTTGGTTGTTCTTCCTGAGCACGCAGTTGTGTGTTGCATCATACAGCGTTCCTCATTGTGATTCGCTTTCCTGTTTCATTTCTAGAATGTTTTGATGAATTTTGAAGTTAGAAACTTAGTGTTTACTATATTATAAATATGTGTTGTTAACCTCAAAAAAGGGGCAACTATAAAAGTTAACTGTTCTGCTTTTTACATGGGATAATGATATGTCAAGAACAGTGGTGAGTGTTTTTTTTACAGTCAGTTTAGACCTGTTTTATCTTTTGAAACTCAAAACCAAAGTTGGTGGTGGCAGGTGCTGATATCTGATAGATGGTACCTACCCAGTGTGTAGGCATCCTGCAAAAAGGGTGCAACTTTTCGATGTAGGAAGGAGGTGTGGGATTCAAAAGGAGAAGGTTCCGTAGGTGAAAGGAACAGGAGAAACATATCTGATAGTATTGCTGTCCCACAGGAGACCTCAGAGATGGTGAAAATCTCAGACCCATTAACAAAATAATTCCATAAGGTTATTATCTTAGAATGGCTTGGATTGGAAAGATCATCTAGTTCCAGCCCCCTGCCATGGGGGGTTCATAACAATGTTATCACAAACTCTGTATCAGATGCTGTTTGCATCTTCCTGAGGTGTGTTATATACTATGTTATGCAGAAAGTGGGACAAGATCCATCCACATCCATAATGAGTCTTGGAAAGGTTGTTTTTGTAGGCAGTTTCCTGGCCTCTTGATGTGTGTGGAGAGGTAAATGCAAGTTGTTGCTGACATGGACTTTCTCTGGCCTAATACAGATTTGGCTTCTTTGTGCCTGTACTTTAGGACTTAATTATGCCTTTAAAAAACAAAGAATGAAAAGGGAATGACAAGCCCTTGATCTTGCTTGCAGGGGTTGGCAGTGAGCTCTGTAGTATAGACATTCCTCTGTAGTATTCCTGTCAGCTCAAATAGATGTTGAAGAAATTATAAACTGAGCCCAGAATTCTTGCGAGAACACTAACTCTTGTTTCCTTGTCAGATTGCCTATGCTAGAATTGAAGGTGACATGATTGTCTGTGCTGCTTATGCCCATGAGCTGCCAAAATATGGTGTGAAGGTTGGCCTGACCAATTACGCAGCAGCATACTGCACAGGCCTGCTGATGGCACGCAGGGTAGGTATCTGTCCAGGCTACTGCTCTGGTTTTCTTACCAAAGGGAAAGCTCACTTTCTCTAGTGGTATGCTGATATTGATAAATGACTCTGTGGGCTTCTCTCAATAATAACTTTCGCTCTTTACCACATGGATTTGATGGCCTCCTGTGACTGTCAAATCACAGGAAGAGCTGTAACCACTCAGGTTCAACTCCAGCAGCCCACTTCTGAGTCTCAACACTTAAGTTTGGTGGAGGGAGGGAGTCAGAATAAAAATGTAAGAAATGTACCTCTGAGAGCTGAAAACATATAAACAGCATCCATCCATTTTCCATGAGCTTAGGAACATGTCTTTGAGTTCACTGGTGTACCTGTTGGCACAAAAGGTTGAAACTCAACAGACATACTTCCAGTGGTGGTTGGTAAAAGCTTTGTTATGGGGTGCTAATTTTTGTAAAGACATGAAAATTTTACTGCAGATTTGGGCTTTACGGGGGCGGTGGTTCTTCATTTTGTTCATTAATGGAAAGAATTTCAGAAGTGCCTTTGTTTGTTTTCCTTTCCTGCAGCTTCTGAATAAATTTGGTCTTGACAAGATCTACGAAGGCCAAGTTGAAGTGACTGGTGATGAATACAATGTGGAGAGTGTGGATGGAAAGCCTGGTGCTTTCACATGCTACCTGGATGCAGGTCTTGCCAGAACTACCACTGGAAACAAAGTCTTTGGTGCTCTGAAGGGTGCAGTGGATGGTGGTCTGTCCATCCCCCATAGGTAATATAGTCTGTTGGGAAGGATTCCTTTAGAATTAACCTGAGATTCTTCTGTAGGTGACAGTGTACGTACACTGTCACTTAATGTCCCAGTGACCTGGGAATGATGATGTAGCCTTGGTCCTCAGGTGGGTTTGGGTTTTTGTGGTTGGTTCATTGGTTGTTTCTTAATCCCAAAAGTTCAATTTTGAGAATGCTGCTGGGAATCTTGCAGCTACCAAGAGATGTTATTAAACTTTTAGAGACTAAAAAGCCATCTTGTTGCTTTGACTTAAGATCATGAAGTGATTGCCTGCAGTTAAGTAAATCTGCTTTAGTATTCTGTTGGTTTAAGTCTTTAGCAAATTGTGTGTGCTTACTGCTTTCAGTGCAAACAACTGTACATACCAGGTATAATGCCTCTGATGCTTGCTACAGGTGTCAGGACAATAGTAGGTCTGAGCTGTCCACCTGCACTTAAAATTTTTATACAGATGTTTTGACAGCTCCTGTCATAGGCTGTGAATGACTGAACCAAGATTTTTAGCAGTTTTACCAACACTGATACTACTGTTGACTGCTGCTTTCTGCTAGCAGCTGTGAATGGGGAGGGAGAAATCTGAGCTCTGTTGTGTATTTTCTTCCCTTTTCCCATGATCTTCTATTCATTCTTGACTAATTTAGCAGTTTTTCTGACTTGGCTGCTACGTGATGATACTCCCAATGACTGAACGCTCTGTAGTTGGTCCATGGTGTGTATGTGATGTACAGCACTGTTTCAAGACGGGACTGATGGCAGCCAAGACAAACTTAAAACTTCCATCTCTTGATTTTCTTTATCTTGTATTTTATAATTAGAGGGTCTTATCCCTCAGTTATCTGTATTGGTCATTTCTGTGTGGAATCTAGCCTCTGAATGGGAACATTTGTCAATGTGTCTTTGCAATGCTGTTTCACAGTACCAAACGTTTCCCTGGGTATGACTCGGAAAGCAAAGAATTCAATGCAGAGGTTCACCGCAAGCATATCATGGGCCAGAATGTTGCAGATTATATGCGCTACCTGATGGAGGAGGATGAAGATGCTTACAAGAAACAGTTCTCCCAGTATATAAAGAACAACCTAACACCTGATGGGGTGAGATTTCTCTCTGGCTCATGTGCATTAATAGAGGTGTTATTAAGTCTTGCATAGAGACTTCTCTAGTAATGCAGATAATATATAAAAAATGTGATTCATATTACATGTTATCTGTGCAAAGGAAGTATTTTTTCCTTCTTTAAGAGCTCTGCAGTATATTGTAGACCTTTTGAAAGCAAGATCTTTTTTCCTGCCATGAAGCTTAACGTTCTGCCTTTAAACCTAAGCTTACAGGACTGCATTCTAAACTGGGCAGTCTTTGCAACCTTTTGTGGGGGGATTTTGTTTGTTATAGAAGTTAACTTGAAATTTCTATACATGCTGCCCACTCATTCCTCATTCCACACCACAGCCTTTAATTTCTGCAGCTGTGGGGATGTGCTCTGTGTCCAGTTTGTTGTAGCATTTTTGTGACCCTATAGGTAATTCTATGTCCCAGGTGAATATAGGCTAGCCTAAGCTACTTTGTTGTAGAAGCTGCAATCTTGTGAAATTAGAGAGACTGTAACACATCTTATTTCAGAATATTTTGCACAAAAGTAGAAAATGTGCAAGATTACCAAGGTATTTTCACTTCTTTCAAGTGTATAACTCCTTTCAGATAGCATGTCTTGCTGCCTGTAATATTCTTGCCTGGTTTCCCCAATTACTGGTCCTGAAGCTCCAAATATTCTCAAGTCATTTTTCAGGCTGTGGAAAACTTAACTTTATTCTTTGTCCCTTTATTGCTATGTGGCTTGGAATGGTTTGTTGGTTGGTTGGTTTTTTTTTTAACATAATTGCTGCTTTTTGTAACTTTAATATTTCTAAAAAATAAGTAAGGTTGTATTGTGAATGCCAGCTTCATCTAGTTTACTAATCAAACAATATTTATAGCTTGTATTGCAATTAAGTGAGTCCAGGACTTTTGGCAGTAGCTAGACACTTACTCTTTGTGCATCTTGAAGACTTCTCACAGCTGGGATCTGGTGATCTTAATTAACTACCAGCAAAGGTATTCTTAGAATTGGTGATGTTATGGAGCCATAGTTAATTTTGGGACACAGCAGCATTACTGCACCTTTGGGGAGAATGCAGGGACTGTCATAGTTCTTGCAAGACTTGCTACTCTGAAGCTGCTTTCACTGCTTCTGCTTCTTCCATCTTACTAAGCAGCTTTGTAACATGTGCTGCTGTAGGGTTTGAAAGGGTGGTAAGATGACATGTCTGACAGTTTGTGTGGAATAATTTTGGCATAGTAAGTAAACATGAAGTATTTTATTCTAAGTAGGATAACTTTCTAGATTGCCTTTTCATTTTGGTGTGGGGAAGCTATGGCACTGAAAGCAGGCTTCGGAGGAAATAGTATTTCAACTGCAAGATAGTAGCCTGTATTTGAGAGACTTGTGAGTTGTCTGTAGTTACTTTATGGCAGGAGAAAATTACTTTTCTCGTTTGTGTCCCAAGTTGTGGGTTTGACTAGTGAAATTGTAGCCTAGTGATAGCAGGAATTTCAGTATGCTCCAGCAGTGTATGAAAAATATTTTAAAGGCAACCATGCAAAACTTGTACATATTGTTATGTATTATGGAGCCCCTTTCTAGTGCATGCTTTGGTCAAGGTGTCTTGGTTTTCTTACATGATGGTACAACTGGACCACTATGGAGAACTGAACAATTTTTTTAAATATATTTTTTTTAAGATGGAAGAAATGTATAAAAAAGCCCATGCTGCTATACGGGATAATCCAGTCCATGACAAGAAACCCAAGAGAGAAGTCAAGACAAAGAGGTAAAGCTCTCATTCTGTTTAACATGAATGTGACTGTTAGAGACGCTTTTGGTTATGTTAAAACAAGTAATGAATTCTCATTGCAGTTATGTCAAAACTTGCATGTTTTAGTTGAGATTAAGATACAAGCAGTTCTGTGTCACTTTATCTTGAGTTAACTTTAGACTTTAAGAGCTCTCAATTATATAAAAGTATTTCTCAAGTGGAGTATGCTTTTGGCCTGAATAGCTGGAACTCTTTAACTGTTTATCTTCAGCTGTTATATCTTTCCAGTGGGAAAGCTGCTTCTCTGACTGATCTGTCAGCACTAAACTATTTGGATTTTTGAGGGTTCTGGGAGAAAAGAAATCAAGGCCCAGCTGTTGCATTGGGCTCCACAGTGTCTGTATTCTAGTTGCAAGAGTACCGACTTAGCTTACCTTGCAAGGAGTTAAACTGCTGCAACCATGCAGCAACCATGTCCAACTCTGTTGTCTTGTGTATCCAAACTACAGCTTTAAATCATTATATAAGGAAATTGTGTGTTTACAGAAGTGAGCATATATTCTAGGACAGCATACTTGATAACAGTTCTGGTGCACTGCAGCTTGCTTGACCACCCTTTTGCTTATTTCTGCCTTGGCTATATCATATATTGTGCTTGCATTGCAGATGGAACTGTCCCAAGATGTCTCTCGCTCAGAAGAAGGACCGTGTTGCTCAGAAGAAGGCCAGCTTCCTCAGGGCTCAGGAGCGCGCAGCTGATAGTTAAGACAACTTCCACAGTTTGCTATGAAGCTTTGGAAAAAGTGGCAATAAATTTATTGAGTAAGCAGCTGTGCAAGACTGGCTTATTTATGTATCTTAGAAAGATGCAGAATAGTGATCCAGATATGCTGTAGCTTTAAATAGGTTTCTCTCCTGCCCCCTTATGAATTGAACTCCTTCACAGAGGAGAGGTGACAGACTTGTAACACCAAGGCTGCTGCATTAGAATCATTCCCATGAAGGGGAAATCAATGTTATTAATTTCTAGTGTGACGAGTACCAGACTGAGAAAAAGAAATAGCGGCTTCTAAAAAAAAATACCATAAATTTTTTAAGAGTTTTTACATGTCCTTCACCATTTTTCTTTCAGCATACTTGATGTTATGAAGGAATCTGTATGGAGCTTAGGAAAAAAGCAGGAGTACTCGCAGCAGGTGCTAAAGCTTCTGCCCAAAGGCAGCTGTAGGCCTTCAGGAACACAAACAGCAACACTCTGCCTACTGTGACTGAATTAGCTGATAGAGGAGTAGATGTCTAATTGAAGTATTTAAGCTTCCTCAGGTAACTGAAGTAAGTACTTTGCACTCAGCTCTAAGCTCCGATTGCTACTGAAACAAGTACTGTCTTAAGCTGAATACTTCCCATGATGTAGTGTTTAGACAAGAGAATTCACTTTCAAGTTGCATATACATGCTTAGTTACAGAGGCTGATTGGCCCCTAATCCTTATTTTCTTCTATATCTTAATTTCATAGGCATTTACTTACTTGTTTCCCATTAGACTCACTGAAGTTGTCTGTACAGTTAAAACATGAGATAAGTAGGCTACGTGGAGGAATGTTTTGCTTCAAGATGCTGATAGATGGTAAGTACTGCTACTGAAAGAGAAAAGGAGGCCTGTGATATATTGTAAACAATGTATTTTTTCCAATGAAAGCTCCAACTTGAGGCAACAGCAATAAAAATGAAGGTTCTGTACAAGAAACCACTATTAAAACATGTTTTCCAGTTGTTTAAAATACCCAACAGTTCGGATTCAATAATCTCTGCCCAAAACCTAGTAATAATTATGTTTTTCCACCAAGAACATGGCCACTTTACACTTGAGTGCATTGCTGTCTACAAATGGTTTCGAGCTTGTGGAGGGACATCAAGTTAAAGAAAATAATCAGCAGAGTAATTCTTAAACTAAAAAGCTGATGTTTACAGACCAGTACACTCTCAACCCAAGCTGCATACTGTTACATACAGAATGGAGAAATGACTTTGTTGGTCCTGTATTTCAGTTTAACCGCTCAAGGAATGCATTTAATAAAGGATACCTAAAAGCAATCAACAACCTTTCAAATATTTAAATAAAGCTTGTCCTGCTTACCTCTGAAAATGAATGAAGGGGCCAGCATTTAGAAGGATGTGGATGACTGCCATTAAAATCATTAAGGATTGAACTACTTCATACCTAAAGCATTTATAAATGAAACATTAACAGGTGTTTTTGAGGACAGTATTAAGGTGTTTTATGGATACCTATTCCTGCAAAATTGTGAACATAGATGTGCATCTGAGAAACAATAGATGCAGATTAAAGGTGGTACAGTGATCATGCCATATGGAGTGCCAGGATCAGGTAGTGGTTATTTACTCATGACTTGAGACCTAACAGTGACTTGTAGATGCTGCTAGAAAAAAAAAGAACAGTAATATACTAGAGCTTGGTAACAGCCAAGAATGAGGTGGAACATTTAAGCAGTATTTTGTGATCCTGAATAATCCTGCTTCTGTCCTACAGGTTAGCTCTATGCTCTGGCTTACATATTTCCCACAATAGCTCAAGAGGATCTAAGTATAAGTCTGTAGCTAAATTTGGAGGGACAGTGAAGAGTCAAGACTATCCACAGCTATTATTTGTTTCACATGTCATACAGCAGACTCCTACATTATGCAACCTTCCTATTTTCACTTTTAGGACTTTTTGCTGTCAATATTTAAAAAAAATTAGGTCCTCATATGATAGCTTATTCCACAAACTCCTTACTTTTCAGTATTTGCTACAGCTTAATTTGGGTCAAAGGTTTCAACTGAGGTACAACACAAGGGTTTTTTTTTGAAACAGATGCTGATATTGCTGTTAGCCTACATACATGAATTTCAGAAATAACATACACTAAAATTCTTGGCTCCCAACGTTCACTGTATAAGGGCTTAAGAAGTGTTAACTACTTAAACATTCAAGATTCAAGCATGAGGTAACAAGGTGTAAACAGAATCTGATTTAACTCTCATAACCTGTCAGTCCTTAGAAGAACACTCTTAATTTTCCACAGTTTAAAAATTATTAATGTGCAAATTCTGCCATGCCAAGGTATTAGTAAACTTCAATCTCACAGTTCAGTTTATCCACAACAGCAGCTTGGACTCAAGACACGTAATTTGCGGTAGTGGTGGTTCTTCATCAAACTACTTGGGATAATGATGTTTCTTTCGCGGGTATTTCACAAGCGAGCAATGGTTTTCACAGGATCCTAAGATGTTCCATCAGTTGATGTGGTGGCATAGAGAATACTTTCAGCCTGTTCAAGATCTGACAAAGTGCGCAGAACAGTCAAGCATGCAGGGGTTTTGTTTCTGTAACACGGCACTAGAATACCAGATCATTCAGTGGCATGTTCCTTCTTTGAGAAGCCCTGTCACAAGGTACTGACTGAAGGGCAAGAGTTAGAATCTTTAATTAAATCTGAGTAAAGAACCATCTTTAAAAAATGCTGAGTTAGTTTTTACCAAACAGGGTGGGCCACTCTAGTGGCAGGCATCAATTGTCTTCTGCTGGTGGAGAAGCTAAGAATCATTTGTATGGGAAATTTTCTTCCACAGTAAAGTTTTCAAGTTATTGAGTATTAAGGAATGCTCCATCTCCATCTGATTTGCTGTGACTTTCAGGGCAATACACAAGTACAGTTGTTTTTCTAGTTCTTCATGGATATCAGAAGGAGCACCACGAAGCAGATAGTCTTTAAGTAGCTGACAGGCTTTTGCCAAATTTGGCTGAATTACTTCTGTGGTACATCTCATTTTGCTTTGGTCGCATAGAGTTCTACAGTCTGTACCATAAATACAGTCCAAATCTGATTCACACTGGCGATCTTTAATTATTTCCTTCAGGTTCATTTCTGGCACAATTTTTCTCATGTCTATCATTTTCAAATCGTATTTATCATTATATCCCAAGTTTTTGGCACTTGTATCGCACATAAGAAAGTTTCCATAAGGTCCATGAAAAATATCTTCCACAAATTCTAAAAGCCCTATGGCTATTTTTGCTTTTCTTGGCCATGATGGAGTAAACCACTGGTCCATGCTTCTCCTGAAGCCAGAGGGAATGAAAAGTTCTATAATCCACGGAAGGCTGATTCCATAGAGAGAGGTATATTCAACTCTTTCGGTCACATAGAGATTCCCACAAAACCCCATCAACTTGGGAGTATGTTCTTTATCCTGCAAGATCACCATTAACAGAAACTCATCTAGCTGGAGCAGTGCCCATGCAGATTTTGCCTCGGGCAAAGAAACTCTACCATCCTTGTTTCCATCGGCAAAAGAGAGGATGAGATTAACCAGTTCTGAAAGATTTCCTTGTTCACCTAATTTGGCCTGAAAGCAACAAATGAAAAAGATTAAATATTATTTCATTAACTATCACAAATCCACTTGTCATTTTACCTCCTGTCTTTCTACTCCTATGGATAGTATGGTAAGGGTACATTATGTTCTAGTTTCCACTAGTTATAGATGTTACAGGACTTGCTATGACATCCCTGAAGAGCATCCTTTTTGTTCTGTTTTCAAAGGCATCAAGTATATGATCTTCTTAAAGTGCTAGTGTTCTGTGCATTTCAAAATGCAAACATCAGAATTCAAACACTGTTCTTGGTCAGGGCAGTCTTTAGAAAAACTGTATCAAGTAGCTTGTTAAATATTCTCTTAGAAAAAGAATGTAGAATTCCAATCTTTAGATCAAGTTTAGTTGTCAGCTGATAATGGCCAACTATAAAATACTAGGACACACTGGGTACAAATCCCATAGGATAAGTGTACCAAAACCTTTAATTTCATTACTTGATATAACCACCTCCATTGTATCAATACAGAGAAAGAAGCCATTGCTGGTACCAAAACTGTTGCATTTTCAACTACCACCAAAGCACACAGAAAGGCAAGATAAACATTTCCCAAATTCTCAAAAACTACTCTAAAACACCTGCTGTTCACCCATCCTTAAGAGACAAAGCTACTGTAATGCATGGTAACTGTCATCAGCTTTATGAAGTGTTACATGCGTGTGCATGTGTACACGTGATACCTGTGTATTTCATCTAGAACAGCATTATTTCCATCACCAGAGATATCAAAGCATCAAAAGTGCCGAGTTACAAAAATTCTGGGGTTGCACTAAGGCACTGGAAATATGTTTCACATTAATATAACACAGAAGGAACTGGGAGAAGTACGGCTGGTCGTTCTGGTTAGAGAGATTCCTGCTGCTCTGTTAACATACTCACTCTTCCCAAGCACAAACAGTTTTCAAATTGTGCTTTAGTCTTTGTACTTGGTTACAATAACCCCAAAAGCAGCAAAAAAAAAAAAACCAACACATTTTTACCACACTTGTATTTCTATACAAGTGAAATCTGTAGACATGAAAGATGTAAGCCAGGTTCCATCTGTTAAGAAATAAGGAAAAAACCTGATAATTACTTACTTCAAACTTCGAGATGAACACCTCTGGGAAAAAACTATTTTTGTGCTGATTATCTTTCTAATATGTACTTGAACAAGGCTCATATTATCGCGTATTCTCTCCAGCTGCAGGAAAATAAGCCTTTCTGTCAAAGCAGTATAAACAAACATGTACTTACCTTAAAAAGACTATATACCATTTCTTTGAATTTCTCAACAGTGGTTCCTCTTGTTGGTTTATCAAATAGGACTATTTCCTTCCTTGGTTCTGGGTCAGTACCAAGATCAAGCTGAGCTGCTTCTTCCATCTGGCATTTTATAACACCTTGCAGACTTCCCCAGATTCCTAAATACATCTACGCAGGAAAAGAGGGGAAAAGGTAAAAAAATCTGTAGAAGTCCATCATCTGAAGGCCACTTGTACTCCAACCACTGTTTCAGGAGTCAAGTCGCAACACAGAAAACCGAGGCCTGTCTACAGACAATGCCCAGAACAGATTCAAATGGCAATTCCAGTACACTACTGAAGGTATGTAAGAGACACTACACTGATAAATACAAAGACAGCTTGATAAACAGTTTCTTGGCATTACTACCATAGTAGTAACATGCAAAGATTGTTAAGAGGCTGCTTCTTCTATTTGGGAAGCAGGATAGCAGAGTAGTAGTATGCTGTACAAAAGTATAGTTATTCTGTCAGAAAGTGTATTTTTTATATATGTGTTTCTAAAATATATGTATGTGTAGTATAAAATTATACCCATCTGCTTATCAGAACAATATATACAGGTATATTATATATATGTGCATATTATATATACTGTGTTATCAATAACATTATACCTATATATTCTACATGTAGGTATATACACACACGCACATATATATATATATTAAAAAACATTCTTGCATGTCACAGCAAATACAGCTTAAAATAATCTGTATTAAACAGATACAGCTTGCTGACACAAAGGTCTACTTGATGTTCCACACCATGATATTTCAGTGGGAAATGATAAAACCAGGTTGGATGAGTAAAGCCTTACCTGGTTATTGGGCTTTGTTGACAAACATTTTCCAAAATACAGTGTTTCTTTAGCACAAAGACTACTACATGCTGACCCATCAATAACTCCAGTCTTGTATTTATCACACTGAAACAAACAGGGAGAAAAGTATTTAACAAATTGCTCAGGAAAGGAAGCAACAACTGCATCTCTCTCAACACCCAACTCTTGAAAGAAAAACCTCAGAAAACAACTTTACTATCCCCACACGAAAACAAGGTTAAGAAACATAACTGGTTTTATCTTTCACTGAAGATATAATCTTCAACATGCTGGAATATCAGATTTTGGTTAATTTACATATTACACTGACTGAATTGACTGTGGAATTACTCAGGACAAACACTTAAGAAAGCTATGCTAAATATACTTACTATTATTTTCCTACAGTCATGTCCTCTGCATAGTTCTGTGTAGGTGGAGTACTGAACATATGTAACCCAGCTGCCAACAAATACTACTAACCAAGAGATAAAGAGATACTTCATCCGCATATATGAGAGACGTACCTAGAGGATACAAAAGAGAAAATATTCTCTGTAATTCATTCAGCAGCAGTCAGCATGATAGGAACAAACATGATTTACTATTTCACCTTTAAGAATCTGACTTTCACAGTGATAAAATAAGCAGACTGCATTACATGGAACATTTGCTTCCTTCAGTGAGCAGAACTGGCAAGGGAGGTCAGTTTGACTTATGTAGGTAGAATAAAAATCAAGATATAAATAGATAGAAGAAAAGGTCATAGATCCTCATTTTGATCAAAATCAACCTTCCCTGAAAGGATACCATTTAATTATGCAAGTAAAATTCCTCTAGACTAGCCTTGTCTTCAGTGGTCTTCCCCATAACTGTATGCAAGACTTTCCTGCTACTTCTGTGGCCTAGCATTTAATTTCTTCACTAGGGACAGAGGAAAAAAAAAGTATTTATAAATGAAGGATTCAGGGACAGCTAAGTGCCTTGTAAGGGAGGAGGCACATTTTGATATATTTTTTCCCTCCTCGTCTGGTGTGCTAACAATTTGGTTTTCATAGATCAGGATTAGAAAAGAATTAGAAATTAATGATTAGCTTTAGCAACAGGATACAAGTTCGTAGGTTAGTATGAGATGAATTTCTGTTAGTATCCTGATGTTCAGCAATAGCTACAAATAGATGCCATCAAAGAGTGAGAATATACAATATATATCCCAAATGTGCTCCCTTCTTCCTCCAGAAGAACTTGCTTTGATTTAAAAAAAAAAAAAAAAATCCCATCAAGGAATTATCAGTGCCAAATAAATACTGCAGCTCAAGCTGTTGATTCAGATCACATCTTCTTCACAATAAAAAGCCTTCTTAGCCACTGGTAACTGAAAGCTCATCATAGGCATCACTATGTTACTGCTAGAAGTCTCTGACAGATACACCTTGGAGAAGTGAACCTTTTGTAAGCAGGAGCTTGAAATGCCTCATTCCCTTGGTGCCTCCAAATCAGGGCTGAGGTTAGTAATGGGACAGTGTTAAACAGAAAAGTAAAGCCATTTGCATCCTATCTATGTACGAGGATTTCTGTTTCCAAGACAACTTTTATGAAACTGAGCAAATGTTTGATTGTGAGCAGTCAAGAGATAAGGTGAGAAAAATAAAATGGAAGACATGAAGCCACTTCAGAGCAAGCTCTCAGCCATGAGCTGAGCTTAGAAAGTTTATGGAGGGAGACCTGGCAGAGAAGTGGGTTCCATAAAACAGCAACACAATGAACAATATTAACCAGCTTTAAAATGGAGGGAAAACACAGAACTGAGTAGATGTAAATAAGTCAGGGGTTTTTAACTAGAGAGACTACAATAATTTATGAATACTTATAAAAACATGACAGACAACCAGCACGCATTACACCCTTTTCTCTTGGAAGAAATAATCCAAGAAAGGTCAGTTCCAAAACACTCAAAGATGATTCCAACCCATGCAGCTGTGGTCCTGGTGTGTGCCTCAGCTGTGCATCCCTATTCCTTCCCTCCTTCAAGCAAACTCACTTGACTTATCTTAAAACTACCTAGTCAAACAAAGAGATAGATACAACTGACTGCTTATATTCTGGTGATAAGATCTTGAACGAGATAGGTCCTTCAACCAGTTCTTCTTTGATGGTATTACGTTGAGAATGTTATAAGACAGGAGTAATTTCTGCTATTTTCCTCAGAGCCACAAAGACATTAGTTAGAGTAACATGTAATTTCCTCTAAAGCTCAGTATTCACAATATGGATACAAACTGGATGGAGTACAAAAAGGAAACCAACAGTAATGCTGTGTGGTTCACAGCACATCTAGAAACAGCTTAGAAAATGTGTAAGGAAGCTGGGGGTAGGGTGGATGGAACAGCCAAGAAACAAAACTGATAGCAAGGGGCTGGGTAGCATCAAAAAAAAAGAGAAATCCCATGAAAGAGAAATGCCTTTGCCATTGAAAGAACACTACTGGAATGACAGACTTGCAGGACTTAGTGCAATTTCCTAGCTTAAAAAAAAGGTGAACCACCATACCTACATGGTTACAGCATACAGCATCACAAACTTTTCTGCAAACCACACTACTTGAACTGATGAAAACAGGAAGTCATCCTCCATAGAATCATAGAATCATAGAATAGTTAGGGTTGGAAAGGACCTGAAGATCATCTAGTTCCAGCCCCCCTGCCATGGGCAGAGGCACTTCACACTAAACCATATCACCCAAGGCCTAATCCAACCTGGTCTTGAACACTGCCAGGGATGGAGCATTCACAACCTCCCTGGGCAACCTATTCCAGTGCCTCACCACATGTGACCTAGCAGTAAGTGAGAAACAGTATTTTATCAGTGAGTTCACAAACACTCCCCAGTCACACAACCCACACCATCCCCTGTACAAAAGAACTGAAATCTTAGTTCAAGCTCATGTGGATTCACCCTCATCTATTCTTTCTTCCAGACCATTTTCTGTATTTAGTAATTACAATCCTCAGTATTTTTTTCTTCCCCATACCCACCACAAATTGTTCCCTCAGCCAGTCTGAACATCCCCCTCTTGAAACACACATCTGCTATTCTTTTTCTTCCAGTTATTTCCAGTCTATTCCCACCTGATTCTGCAACACTTACCATCTTCCTCCACTGCCTGTCTTCCATTCTCAAGTAAGTTTCCAGCACTACTCAGTGCCTCATCCACTTCAGTTCTCCAGCACAACTCTCCTACTTCAGAATCCTTGTCCTGAGCTACTGCTCGTGTACAAAATGCACTTATCATCCACGGGCATCCTTTTTTCACGGCTCTGGGAAGCCAGCATAGGCAGCATGGCAAAGCACTAGGGGGAGAGCGTCTCTCTCCCTGTTCCCACTTCCAGAACCAAAGGAAAGCTGTAAGCAGGGCAGATGGATTCTTTGCATAGGTTAGTTCTTACACCCGCACTACACAAACCAAACCAAAATCAGAGACATCTATTATTCCTCAGCAGATCCACCCCAGCAAGACCAGGTTACCAGCTCTGAGTCAGCCCTCCAGCAGAGGTCTCTTGAAACACAGTTTTGAACTGGAATGTGAACCAAACCAGTAGATCAAAAACATTTAAAGTACAGGATTAAGAGATTGACTGATCTGGATCAGTTGTGAGCACACAGACTTTTTTTTTCCTCATCTAGAGAATACAGCATATTTTTTCCTTGCTTCCTTCATACTTTCTGTTGAAGGACAGAGCATACATAATAGTTTTAGTACTTAAAAATAAGAACTACTATATTATAGTTATGCAGGTTCAATGCCTTCTGTAATAACTTCTTTTTATTTGTTCTTATACCACCTAAAACCTCATGGTTTCATAACCTAGTCTGTACTTTTTTGCTGTTTTCAACATAGTAATAACACTAGTGTGTGCTCTGTAGTACAGTTGCTGAAATTATCAAACCACTTGAGTCAATCATGTCTTTTAACTTTGGCCTAATGTTTCTGCAACAAACAGTTGATACAGCATCAAACTGAAAGAATGACCTTCTTTGCCTCTGCAAGCACAACGAGATACAGCAGCATCTGAACGTACAAAAGCTGTTTGTAATTAAAGCATGATATTTTGATATAATCAGATCAGACTCAATTATTGATAACTATGCAACAAAGGCATGTTCATTAGGGTTTTTTATTCATCTTTTTGTCAGGATTGACTTCTAGTCAAATGAGCAAAGTGCTGCCCGTTATTACCACCTCCACACGCTTGCCCAAACCATCTATTGAAGGTTACCACCACACAGCAGAAGTCTGTAGAAGCAAACACAGACAGGTCTCATACTCTGAGAATCATCTTCTTCATGAAACAAGATTTTCACTGGAAGTTCCCAGTAGCCAAACAAACAGTGAGCTGGAACAGCTAAGGTATGGGAGCATGCTCACTCTAAAACTTATGCTGTATGTATAGTAAACTAATGGAATATGGGGTCAGAGAAGCATCTTGGACTATCCCAGCAAATGTATTTAAGGATTCAGTAGCAAACCTGGGTGCTTTCTCTGTCATCTCATGTACTTCAATCTTCAAGTGTTTTTCATTTATGAAGTTTAACTGCATTTCCTCAAAGTAACTTTTACTGAAACCTACCAGAAGTTACCTTGTATCTTGACATACCCCTGCACATTCTTGAAGGAAACACTTTCTCTGTGGGTCCCATTCTTCACGTAAGTCTAGGAGCTATTTCCTTCAGAAAGTTAAAAATAAGCTTAAAAAACTTTCCAACGTAAGCAGCATTAATTCTTTAAAAACATTTAAATTTCTCCTTCTAGCCACAAAAGGGCAGGCTGCAACACAAAGGCAGGATAGACTATGCAAATCTTGGGGTGGGGATCAAGTTAACTCAAAGTGTATTCAATTCATTTCCTACTTTTTTCCTTGTCAAGACTGCTATCTATAAACAAACCACATCCAGAGCATTTATTCTTAGAGTATAAAAGAACTTAACTTGCGTCTCAACAATGCTAAGATCCTGTGCCAAAGAAACGCATGCATGAACATCAATATTTACAATCATGGGGCTGTCTATAGGGGACCTATTCATATGGTCCAAAGTCCCATTTAACCCCATGTTGCATTCTATATTGCATTCCAAATATTTCCTTCCAAGTTCTGTTATCCAAGTTAGGAAACAAGGAGCATAAAGGGAAATTTTGCTGTTGTTATTATAAAATGGGTACTGCCTCAAACGAAAGTAATCAAGTCAAGGCTGAAGCTATAGCAAGTCACCTCCTTTCTTCTGATAAGCACCAAGCCTTCTGGCAACTTTAAGTGCTATGTCTTAAATGCAGTTTATAGTTTTATTTCTCCAAAGAGAAGTATGATTTGCCAGAAACTATCACAAATCTGAAATACATTCCACATCTGGATACCCAACACCACACATAAAAACTATGCACATCAAAAACTGCATCAGTACAGAGTTCCTGGTTATGTTTACTTCAACATACCAGCACATTGTCCAGGGCTTTCTAGCTTACAGAAGCCAA